ATTATATTATTCTTTCCACCCATACTTTTCTTATTCCTGTATGTTTAAACTTTCTTGCCTTTTATCAAATTATGTAACCCAAATAATGAAGTACTTTTTCTCCCATTCTCTCCCCCAATCCACCTGCTCCCGGGAAATGCCGCTGGTATTAGGGAGGGAGAAGGGGAGAAAGTCACTAACAGCTTTTCAGAATCCAGTTGCAGCCCTTGGCTGCCTGGCAGTAAAAGATTAAACAAATCACAGACATTAATCACAGACCATCATTCACACAGACACAAACATATAAAAAAAATGACAGGGAGAATCCAAAGGCGAGAAACTTGTCAGAAATTCCCCACACAAATGAAATAATGCTATTTTTATTTTATTTTATCTTTTCTTTTCATGGTATTCTAAAACCAGGCAAAATCTTTCTTAAGGTTTTGGTTTTTACAAAGGGAAACTTTTTCACTTTGTAATGCTCCACAATGTCCACAATACAGTGCTGTGACTACACGTTTCTTTTCTACTTCCCCCTTGGGGATTTTTGAAATTCCTCATGGCACATGGCGGGAGCTTCCTTTGTTCTCACAGCTCCTACAACCCCATTTTTATGAGATTGTAGATAGTGGAAGTACCCAGAGGAACTGATTTTGGGCCTTTGGTGTTATAAAATTCTGTCGATTGTTCTCCCACTATTTTCCATTGTTCTAAATCTAAGTTCCCTTCTCTGGGGTGCTATGGAGATTTTATATCAATAATATCTAGAAACTCTCTTATTTTCTCAGGAGTTACCGAGCACCCCTGTTCCTCAATCACTTTATATATTACTCTAACATTCTGTTCCTTATCTGAGAGTTTACCTAGATTTTGCCTCATGATAAGACTTTATCTTACCTCTCCATAGTTTTGTGCCACGGGATATGATTCAGAGACCTCTCACAAAGAGGCTGCGTGGCTCCAACAGACCTCAGTGTCTTGATGTGGGTGTTGCGTCTTCTTGGTCCAGATGTTTCCCGACTGTTTCATGCAGCTGTCTTACTCTCTGTATCTTCTTCACGGCAGCAGTGCAGCCCCACGTTGGGTGCCAGTTTGTTGTGCACAACTAGTTCACTTGGCTATAGAGCTACCTAGGGCCTAGCATTTCCCAATCACCTGATGAATCAAGACCAGCTTGATTTTCTATCTCAAATGCGCATTGATGAGGCGGGAGGCAGGATGGAAGCAACTCCATTTATTTTTAGCAAAGCACTTACTTATATAGTAAAATAACAGGAACTCTTTCTCAAGTTACAATGACGTATAGCCCATACTGTGCTCAAGGACAGTGCATGCAAGTCCTGTGCACTTATCTGACTCCAATCCCAGAATAGACTACTAATGACCATATAATAAGTAGGGGAGTTAAAGATTGGTAAAAGATCCGTACAATGGAGCACCGAACCAGGCGACCTTTGCTCAGAGATCAGCACCCGAGAGGGGCCTCTGCCCATCAGTGAGACTTCATGAACAACCTGTGGCCCTCTGCATCCTTACAGATCCCCAACAGAAGTTATTCAATTTGTCTACATGTTGCTTCCACTTAGAGATAGATAGACTTAGAGAATAAAGTCCTGCTATGTCTGAACAAGACATTTAACTTTTCTGTGTCCCAGACAATTCTCTAAAACTCCAAAGATACAGACTACATACAGTTGCTAATCTGTATCAGCAGAGAGTTTCTGTATCCAACAGTTCTCTATTTAAGAGTTCTCTAAATGGAATCACAGGTCTGAGCCAAATGAATTTTTTTCCCTTAACCACTCTCCCTCTTAACGTATTAGAAGCAGAAAGTTGGGGAAAACATCATACTATGTGTTTTTTCTCCTTGATCTGTGCAAATCCACATAACTCTTTAGAAACAGGGATATTTCTGTTGGCAACCAAATTCGTTTGACCCTTCTTTCTTAATGGTTTCCTTGATGAACTTTGTGTCTTTTCAATCTTAACCTCCTTCCATAGATTTCTTAAAAGAGATCCAACCTCTTTTTTTAATTTCCTGCCTTTCCTCCAACATTTTAAATGCCTTTGAACATAGTATTATTTTTAAACAAAGTTATGCTGTTGTTGTGTCACGTAATTTAACTTCACTTAGCAGTCTTGGTATAGACATAAACTTTGCATTTATTCTGTAAGATAGGAATGCAATGTGAATTAAATGGATTCTTAAAAACTGCAAAAGTGCTACTAAATTTAAATGTCTAAGATCCTTTCAGCTCCAGATCTATGATCTTTTATACTTAGAAGACATTTTCATCATAACAACACCACTTTATAGATGAGGAGTTGAAGGCTTAGAGTGCTTCAATTCAGAATATAATTTAGTGCCTACTGTCTGCAAGGCCCTGTACTCTTTGCTGAACAGTTCTTGTTTGCGTGGAGCTTATATTCTATTGGGATGATATAACATGTTAACAAGTAAGTAAACTCAAAGGACAGACAGAGCAATATGAAACAATTTCAAGAAGAAAGCAGCACTAATGACTAGGGAATAAAAGACCTTGTATAGGAGGTAGGACTTGAGCTGTGCTTTCGAGGAAGCTAAGTATTCTACCAGGTGCAAGTTAGAAAGGAGTTTGTTCAGGATGTGGAGGCCATCTTGTACAAAAGCTCAGAGATGGGAAATAGAGGGAATGTTGTCCACAGGAAAAAGGTAGCAAGCAAGTTAGACTTAACGCATAATACATAAAGGGGAGTGATATGTAAAAGAGTGGAAAGATAAGTGGGAGTCCAATTGTGGAGGGCTTCCAGTGCTAGGCCAAAGATACTGTACTTTATGCTAGAGGCAACAGGGAACCATTGAAGATTGTTAGGTGGGAGGAAGGGACGTGGGATGGCACCGTGGTCAGAGCTGAATTTTAGGAACATCAATTTGGCAGTTATGTGGAAGATGAATTGCTGTGGAGGATGACTTGAGATAGACCAGTTATAAAGCTATTGTAATCATCTAGTAGAAAGCCTGAAATAGAATAAGATAAAAGGTTATATGAATGCCAAGAAAGGAGTAGATGTAAGAATTAAAAGAGATAGAATCTGTAAGACTTAGCAACTGATTGGATATGGGAGTTAAAGGATAAGGGGAGGATCAAGTTACTCTCTAAGGCTGCATACCTGAGTACCTGGGAAGAATAGTGGCACCAGTCAGTCATCCAGCATTTATTAAGTACCTGATATGTTCCAGCCACTGTGCTAAATGCTGGGGATACAAAGGAAGGCCATACACACATGCCCTAAAGGGACTCACAGTCAAAGGTAGGAAACAACATGCAAACAGCTATATAAAACAAATACACACAGGATCAATTGGGAGTTGTCTCATAGGGAAGGCACTAAGATTAAGGAGGACTCAGAAAGGCTTCTTTATAGAGAAGGTGGGACTTTGGCTGAGACTTGAAAGCAACCAGGGAAGCAAGGAGGCAGAGATGAAGGGGAAGAGTGTTCCAGACATGGAGGACAGCTATTCAGATGATTGGAATCAGGAGATGGAGTATCTTGTTCAAGGAGGTAGGCCAGCGTCACTGGATTACGAAGTACATGGAAGGGGAGTAAGGTATGAGCAGATTGGAAAGGTAGGAAGGGGACAGATAATGTATGAAGGGCTTGAAAAAAAAGATGATTTTATATTTGATCTTGGAGGTAATAGGGAGCTACTGGAGTTTACTGAATGTATGATATGGTCAGTGCTTTAAGATGATCAATTTGACAGCTGAGTGGAGGAGGACAGAAGTGGGAGAGACTTGAGGCCATCCTGCAGACCAACCAGTAGGCTCTTGCAATGTTTCAGGCCTTGTTTGGTGGAGAGGGCCTGCACCAGGGTGGCTGCAGTGTCAGCAAGAGATGTGATGAAGGTAGAAATGACAGGCCTTACCAGATGATTGGCTCTAGGGCAGTGGGAGAGGATGAGGAGTCAAGGATGACACCCTTGTCTTGTGGACCTGGGGAAAGTTCTGAAGGATAGGTTTGGAGAAAACATGAGTTTGGTTTTGGGCTTGTTAAATTTGAGACACATCCGGGGACTTGTAGGTAGAGATATTAAGCAGGCATTTGGTAGTATATAGGATTGGTGTTCAGGAGAGAGACTGGGCTTGGTCTTTTTAGATTTGTGAATTCCTTACATAGAGACAATGAGAGTAGATGATATCAACAAAGGAGCAGTTAGAGACAGAAGAGGCCCCAACACAATTTTGGGGGGGAGGGAGGCAGCCCACATTTGGTAAGTTGGAGGAGGAGGAGGATGAATCCGGGCAGGTCAGACAGGTAGAAAGAACAAGGAGCACTATGAAAGCCTGGGGAGAAGAGGGTATGCTAAAATGCCCACAGCTGCAGCCACTGTGGGACTTGTCCAGGGTAATCCTGACTACACAGCGAGGGCTCTTTTCACTTTTTCACTTGACCATACTGCCTATATTTTCTTGTATGGTTGATAAACAGATGTTTTGTTCTTTTTTCTTTTTTTCTTTTCTTTTTTTTTAATTTTTATTTTTTAAATTTTTTTTCCATATGCTTTTGAGTTGAAAATTTTTCTCCCTTTTTCTCCCCCCTACCCTCCCAAAGACGGTGCACAATCTGACATAGGCTTTACATTTACATACCCATTAAACATATTTTTACATTAGTGAAGTTGTAAGTAAAAATTAAAACCAATAGGAGGAACCGTCAGAAAGATGAAACAAAACTCAACAGAAGGTAGAAATAAGTGAGAGCGATTCGACTTCCATAGTTCTTTCTTTGGATGTGGACAGCATTTTCCATCCCGAGGCCTCTGGAGATATCTTAGATCCTCGTATTGCTGAGAAGGGTTCAGTTTAACATTCTTAGTCATTTCATAGCGTGGCTGCTATTGTGTACAAAGTCCTCTTAGTTCTGCTCACTTCACTCAGCATCAGACTATATAAGTCTTCCCAGGTTTTTCTGAAGTCAGCCTGTTCATCATTTCTTATAGCGCAATAGTATTCCATTGTTCTTTTTTCTTTCCCTTTAAGTTGGGTTTGAAGATTATGGGCCAGATTGTGATAGCATGAGGATAACTGCCTTCTTGGACATTCCGGGACAAGATAATTTGACTCCACTAGCAAGATTGGAGAAGTATGCCTTTAGTGATAACATCTTTAATCGGTAAGAATCTCACTAGAAGTGGGGTGGGAAGGAGAGGATTGGGGGTGTGTGCAAGGGGGGTGCATTATTTCATTTTACAGTGTTTAATTTCTCTTTGACACATTTCATTCAATTGTGTATTTTCTGGTGCTTTTCACTTAATTATGTAGTAAGATGGGAGGTAAAAAGTGGCAGAATTTAATGGTGTCTAGATAATTAGGATTGCTAAGCAGATTTTTTTTAAGTATTTAGAAAAGTAAAACAGATTGTTTAATCGAGATTAAAGTATCTTTAAAAATAGTATTTGTTCTTTCCTTTTACTTTAATTTGGTAAATATTTATGTCAGAATAATGTTTTGTTCATTTATGATATTGAGCTATTATATTCCCTCCTTAGGCAGATTATTGCTAGAGGACTATTGGATGTCTTCCGGAACTTCAGTAATAATGAGGAAGATTTCTTGACTGTAATGGAGATAGTGGTCAGACTGTCAGAAGATGCAGGTTTGTGAAACTATATACAATTTCAGCTTATTTGAAAAGAATTGTAGACTAACCGCATTTTTATTCTTATTTTGAAAATTATGCTTATTAGTTTTAAATTATTCAGAACCTTTAGGCAATCATTAAGTTAGGCCCTGAAAACTAGAATCATAGGATCATTAAGCAAGAGCTGGAAGGGAACTCAGAGAACATCTATTCCAACCCCCCTCATTTTACAGGTGAGGAAATTAAGGCCCAGGGAGATTGTGACTTGACTTTACTTTCCTGCCATTAATTAATTTCAAAAATAACACTGAGGATCTTATCTGAATTTGATTAATAGTACTGATTTTCAGAACATAATAAATGACAAATAATGTTGCCATTTGCCAAGGCACATATAGGTTTGGTTTGGTTTGTTCATTTGTTGGTGAATTTGCTGAACTGTTACTAAGCAATAAGGACACAAAACAAAGTTCAAGGTCTACTGGACTTGATTTTTATGATTTACCTATTTTAGTCTGACCTGCAACATTTGAAGGTAAATCTAGGTGGGATTTTCACCCCACATATATAGTGTAAAGAAAGTGAACTCTATTTAGAAAGAGTTGTTTCTTAAGTCTATATGGTTTGATTTTATTCCCTGAAAAACTGTCAAAATGGTCAAGTGTTCTTGCCATTGATGCAATAATATTTGTCTTCTTTTGAAATCAGAGTCCTGCTTTAGAATTTAACTAGTTTGCCTTGAAGCATCCAAATAAGGTTTCTATTCCTTATCTTATTTGAATGTTTTGAGGATCTGTGGGTATTCCTTTCACTAATTTACATTGAAAACTTCTCCTTGACTTAGTAGATAAGTCTTAGCAGATTGCTCTGACCAAAACATTCATTGTCCTGTGGCCAGTCAAGGTGGTGAACCTTTATGAGTTTTGCTATGCTAATTTTCAGGCAACATGGTAGGTCACTAAGCTCATTTCAGTTTGCACTGGCATAACATTTGAGAATTTCCAGGGTCATCTCCATGCCATGATAACTCAGAGGAAGAGGATTTGAAGGGGAAAGTGCCAGTCATGTGCCAGGTATTGTAATAAGTGCTGGCGATACAAAAAGCAAGACAGTCCCTCAAGGAGTTTACATTACACTGAGGTGACATAAGGTTCAGAAATATGCAAATACAGTCTTTATAGAAAATAAATACAAAGTAGTGGGAGGAAGGAATACTAAAAAGCAGGGGAGGAGGAGTCAGGAAAGCCTCTTGAAAGAGGGGACATTTGATCTGAGCCTTGAAAGGAGAGAGAGGTAAGGGTTGCTAGAGGTGGAGACAAGAAGTGACTTCCTGATGCTAAACAAATGTGTGCCTATTTCCCTCTACCATGTGCTTGTGCTCTAAGTCTTTCAGTGTCCTGGTTGCTATTATCTCCTGGGTCTGCAAAAGTTTACTGTCAAGATTTCTTCTTTCAGATCACCTGCAAGCATGTACAATTCCTGTGTGCCTTTCCTTCAAGGCAGTGATTTCCATTGTTGGCAAGCAAAGACTGTGTGAGAACAGGCTTCTTTCTTGCTTAGAATCAGTCCTGTTCTACTTTGTGCTATTTTGTCTTCTGAACAGGGAAAGTGAAAAGGAAATGAAAAATAAACAAAAAACAGGGTTACCACAGCTGTCACCTTGATTTAGTAATCCCAATTCTTGGGGTCAGCAATTGCTCAGTAAGGAATAGACATGTCTACACACCATGGGTAGATGTCACCGAGATGGCCTCTAAATAAAGGTTCATGTCTTATAATTTCATCAAGTTGATTGGAAAACTCCTCTAATTGAGTCTTAGACACTCTTGGTCAATCTTTTACCAGATTACCCCCATTTAAATATTTGGAGTCTGACAAATCCAAGTTGAGTCTTTAGGGCATATTGGTACATGGTCCCAATTTTAGATACACATTTAAAAGATTTAATTTGATAGTTTAAAACTTTAAATGGATTCTCTTTTAAATGAGTTACCATTTATGATGCCTTTACAATTAATAAAATTGTAAATTGTATTTTTAGTGTGTTGCCTTAAAAATAACTGAGATTCATAAATTGTAAGAGGATATATTTTATGTTAAAAATCTTCAATATATACATTTTTGTAGAAATTTTATAGTAATCTATAGAGCTTACATATGTACAGTTAGGTGCATTTTTTTTTGGATGCTGTTCCAGTGTGTTGTATATTGTCCCATATTTTGATTTATGTATGCCTTGAAACAGAGTTTCTCTTTTCTGTTGTTTTTTTTTTTTGATTCACCTAAATTTTAAGTCTTTCACTAGCACAAATACACTAAATGGACTGTTATTTTTAAACTACAATGTCTCATTTTCTTGAATGAAATGTTTTTTAGGAAGAAAAGCTGAAAGTTCTAAATGTGTACTCTGTCTAGGTCTTGTTTTATTCTAAAAATAAATTCCTTTTTTTTTTTTTTTGTTTCATTGCCACAGAGCCTACAGTTCGGACAGAGCTGATGGAACAAATACCTCCCATTGCCATTTTTTTGCAAGAAAGCCGACCAAACTTTCCATTGGCATTCTCTGAATATCTTATGCCCATTGTCGTGAGGTATCTCACAGATCCAAACAACCAGGTTTGAAAATTTTTGAGCCTTTCTTTTTGACAAATTCTGTATGGTTAGCAAAATTGTCTCTTACTTAATTATACTAAATTCTTTGAGAAGAATTGTGCCTTCTATAACCTAATACAGTAGTTTTTTAGTATTAAGTGACTAAAGAATTAGTTATTCCATTTTTTCAGAATCCTTCTAATTACTTGATAAAATAGATGTTTTTAATAGGCTCCTTCTGACTTGCCTATTAAATACACGTATACATCACCATGTCTATGAAAAACGTCTTGATCTCACAGTTGCTTCAAGCTGCTTTCATCCTGTGTTCTGAACTTACTACCTTCATCCTTCCTTCGCCCATTTATTCCTTAACCTTGTCATCTAGTTTCTGTCTTCACTATTCTATTGAAACTATCCTCAAAATTGTGTTGGTTTGGGGGTGATTCATTTACTACACATTCTAAATTGCGAAATCATACTCATAGAAATTAGGAGCTCAAAGGACTTTGAGTCACCTCCAGCCTCTTTATTCTATAAATTTGTTGGTCTTCTCTCAGCCCTGATTTTTCCTGTGCCCTCTTTCGAATTTGAGATTATTAACCACCTTTTCCTTCTCTCCTCCTTTGGCCTCTGTGACTTGTACTCCTGCCCCTTACTGCTCTTCCCTGGCTTCTTTTCCTCCTTCTATCCTCTAACTGTATTTTTTCTGAGGCAAAGTCCTCTATTCTTTTAACTTTCTTTTATGTTCTTTCTTTCTTTTGGGTAATTTATCACCCACATGTCCTCATCTCTTGCCACTATTCTCACGTTTCCAGACTTAACTCCTCTCCTGAGTTCTAGTTGGACGTTTCCAGCTGCCTGTAAGACGCTTCTACCTTGATGTCCTGTCAGTATCTCAAACTTAAGTTAATACCAAATGAATTATTTTCTTCCTGCAAAATAGTCTTTGCATTCTAATTTCCCAACTTCTGTTAAGTTTCATCTGCGCTTGAAACCTTGAAGTTAACTTTGACCTTCTTTCTCTGACTATGCCATATCATTTGGTTACAAGTCTGGCTTGTCACACCCTGTAATATCTTTTATTTCTCTCCCTTTCTTTTTCTGGAAAGCCATCATCACTTCACACCAAGATTATTGCAGTAGCTTTCTAACTAATCTCCTTGTCTTTGATTCTCTCCCTTCTCCAATCCAGCCTAGACACAGCTCCTGGATTAGTCATCCTAAAATCCCATTTTGATTAATTATGTAGCTCTTCTGTTTAAAATTTTAATATGTGTGACCTCCATGCCATGAGTGCAAAGGTTGGTTATATTGATAAGTAATAAAAGAGATTATAAAGAGAGGTTAGGAATACACATTTATCTCAGCTTTGCTTGAATCTTTTTATGTTTCCAACTTGTTTCCCCACTTCTTCGGGGGGTAATTTCTTTAAATCTTATTATCTAGTGTGTAAAGTACCACTATACCTGTTTTTATTTTTCTAAAATCTTTTCTTTTTCAGATTTTATGGAGTCCAAACTTATTCAGTCTATAGGCTTCAGGATTTTACACATTTAATCATTTTTTCCCTCTTTATCTACCCCCACTCCCCACCCCAGTTTCATCTTTCCGTTGTAAAGAGGCTTGGGTTGGGTTTTTTGTTCTTTTGTTTTTGTTTTTGATCAGTTTCCATATGGAAAATGCTCATTTGCCTTAGTCCTTTTAATTATCCTTCTCTGGCCTTGTTCTAACTTCAGTACATCTTTTTTGAATTGCAGCAACCAGAACTCTATGTGTGAATGGAAAGTTAGGATGCTGATCTGGTATTGTTTCTAGCTTTCTAAGTTAGGAGAGAAGGAGAAGAAAACCTTTTTTGAAACACTTTTATATTTCTTTTACCCCCCCACCTCCCTTTTTTAAACCATTCCAGGTTAGGAAATCAAGTCAGGAAGTACTGCTGATTCTATTGGAACAGGATCTAATTTTTCAAAATGATATTGAAAACAAAGTCTGCCCAATACTACTGGACCTATCTGCTCCAGACAGTGATGATGAATACAAAGCAGAAGCTGTGAATGTAAGTAAATTGTGGTAATACCTACTTCACATATTTATGTGGTAATTTGTATAAAATGACTGTTGCACATCCTGAAGTATACTTTTTGGCTTAGTTAGTATTTATCACATTTTGAACAAATGACATATCTTATAATTTGTGATTTTGTTATTAAAAATTTTCATTTTATTACTGAACATCTTGTTGTTGTTGTTTTTGGGGGGTGTTGTTTTTTTTAAAGGAGATGGTTGTGGCAGTAGCTCTTTAGTAAGGATCCCCAATCTGTTTGTGAGAAGGAAAACTTCATTGCCCTTGAGCCTTGAATTCATACTGGAGGGTAGGGATCCTGATAGTAATATCCTTGAATAGAGGAGGGAAGCGTGGTACTGCTACCACCTGCGTTGCCTTCTCTACCAGAAATGACAAGAAAGTTTGGAGAGAGGGAGCACAGTGTAGCACTGATCATTTAAAAGTGTACCGTATAAGATTCATATTCTCTTGGTAAATTCTAATTGACAAATTGTAGTCCCTTTGCCCTATATAGCATTGGTGTTTAAACCAGTTAAAGAAATAAAGCTAAGGAAAAATTGTGATAAATCTTACAAAATGTCTACATCTGTATCTTGTGAGAAAAGCTGATTATCAAACTCCATATATAATGAGTTAATTTTATATAGCCTTTGAAAGAATAAAAATTATATACATTTAAGTTATTATTTAAGTTGTATAGTTATTTTATTAAAATATAATTATTATGTAAGTTAAATGTTATAATGGTAACAACTATAATTGATAAAAAGGGAGGTCCTCGTTCTGTATATTTAAAATGCCTTGTACAGTTATGTATTTTATGTTTTCTTGAAGAAACTAGCCATGGTTTTAGATTATTCTTGAAGAACCAAAGAAAGTCTTATTTATGAGTTCAATAAGATGCAAAGAAGAAAAATCTTTGCCAGATTTGAAGAAAAAAGATAATTTTGTTCAAGATTCTAAAATATTATGTGTCATGGAATGACAGCTCCCCTAAAATTTTGTATGTGGTAAAGCATATTCCAAAATCAGAATACTTGCCATGCATATGTCTTTTTCTCCAGCTATAAGCTTAAGAACTAGCCTTTTTGACCAGTTTATATTTGCATATTCTATAAGTTTATAGAAAAGGATTAGTTTCAAGAAAAATTGATTATTTAGTTTAAATTCTCAGATATTCTGTGAAATCCTTAGGTTTTTTTTAAAGCAATTAATTACATTGATTCTTCAAAATGAAACTAGATATTACCATTTAGTAAGGGTATTTGGTATATCACCAATAAACCTCTTAGCCATTTAGCTCTCTCTTTCTTCTATTTTGGAAGTCAGGCAGGTTTCCACCATGACATGACATTCCAGCATGACGAGATGTCTTATCATGAAGACTGACATAATAAAAAATAGGGTTCATAGCATTTTCTCTATTTTGTTTTATTGCCAAATACCACATTATCCTCAGTAACTTTTTTTAAACATATAAGTATTAAGAATATCTTAACAAGCTTGTAAAAATCTTCCTTATATGAATCATTCGTGGTGTAATTAATTTAGCAGTTGTTTTGCTTGGTAAAAATATTATTTTAACTGTTATGTCCATATGTACAAGTCTATAAATTTGACTGAACTTCATGTAAAATCATTTTAATACTGAACACATCTGTGCTTTTAAGATGGCTGGTGTAATAGGATTTTTTTTGCTTATTTTTTAACAGAGCTATTAGGCCTAATTACAGAAATATTTAGCCTTGTGGAGGTCTTGTTTGGTGAAACTTGGTTTGAGTGCTTGGAAGACCCTCCATCCCCATCTTAGGCTACTTAAATCCTGTCTTTTCTTTAAGGCTTAATTCAAATGCCACATCATCCACATAGTCTTACTGGATTCCCCCAGTCAATAATGATCTTTCCCCATTTAGACCTAATATATCACTCGAATTGTGCCTCTCATGCACTTAATGAACATCATTTTTTTGCTACAGTTATTTGCTAGTAAATACCAAACATTAACCTCTACCTAGTTGCTAGCCTTCTAATAAATATGTGTGGACATTGAAGTTTGTTACAGTCAATTCAGATGAAATCTTAACCTTGGAAATGTTAACACAGGCTTGACAATATTAAGAAAGTGGTGTAGGGAAAGAGCTTCTAGGGTAAATGGAAGGGAGGAATTTCCTTTTTTTCCTTATTTCATACACCTTTGCTTATCTTAGGAAGGCAAGGGTTTTTGTTTTTGTTTAAGTTTTCTCCTTATATTAATATTAATCCTGTGTGCCAATTTTTTACTTGTTATCAGTTAGAAAATCAAGAAACATAAACATTTACATAAACAAAAAGAGGATTAGACATTGAAACTCTTGATCTATTACATAAATTATATATTTATATAAACTATACACAGATACAGTTTGTGTGTAGGTATGTGTTAAATTGATGTCGTAGTTACCATACCCTGTCTTTATCCCCTTTCTGACCTTCCTTCTTTTGCTTTCTTCTTTGTATTTTTAAAGGTTTCATTTACATTTTTATTTTTCTTTACATCAATATCATTACCTCTCGCTGACTCTCATCCAGTCTTTTCCCAGTTGGTGGACACCAACTTTGTTTCCAGTTCTTTGCTAACAACGAAGAGTATTACCATAAATATTTTTAGTACATGTAGGTAATTTCCCTTTGTCTTTAATCTCCTTAGGAGTATTAGACCCACAGTGGTATTCTTGGGTCAAAGGATATGTACAATTGGATGACTTTATATGTATCATTCTGAGTTGCTTTCCACAATGGTTGGACCGATTCACAGCTCCAAAATTTTTTGATATTAATTAAAGGTCCCTCTGTGCATATACTGTGTAGGGTTTTTAGCATAAAGGAGTATTGTACTTTGTCAAAGGCTTTTTTTATGATCAATTATACTGATTGTTTTCCTAACTTTTTTTATTATTGCTTTTTAGCATTCTTTTTAAAAAATTTTATTAATTTATTTTGATTTATCAACAATCACTTCCATATTCTTTTGAGTTGAAAATTTTTCTTCCCCTTCCTCCCCCCTACCCTCCCCAAGACGGCGCACAATCTGATATAGGCTTTACATTTACATTCCTATTAAACATATTTTCACATTAGTGAAGTTGTAAGTAAAAATTAAAAACAATGGGAGGAACCATCAGAAAGATGAAACAAAACTCAACAGAAGGTAAAAATAAGTGATAGCAATTCAGCTTCCATAGTTCTTTCTTTGGATGTGGACAGCATTTTCCATCACAAGGCCTCTGGAGATGTCTTAGATCTTTGTAATGCTGAGAAGGGTTCAGTTTAACAATATTAGTCATCGCATAACGTGGCTGTTATTGTGTACAAAGTCTTCTTGGTTCTGCTCACTTCATTCAGCATCAGACCATATAAGTCTTTCCATGTTTTTCTGAAGTCAGCCTGTTCATCATTTCTTATAGCACAGTAGTATTCCATTACATTCATATACCATAACTTGCTCAGCCATTCCCCAATTGATGGGCATCCTCTCAATTTCCAATTCTTTGGCACCACAAAAAGCTGCTGTGAATATTTTTGTACATGTGGGTCGTTTTCCCATTTGTATGATCTCTTTGGGATATAGCCCTAGAAGTGCTATTGCTGGATCAAAGGATATGCACATTTTTGTAGCCCTTTGGGCATAGTTCCAAATTGTTCTCCAAAATGGTTGGATCATTTCACAACTCCACCAACAATGTATTAGTGTTCCAATTTTCCCACATCTTCTCCAGCATTTATGGTTTTCCTTTTTTGTCATGTTGGCCAATCTGATAGGTGTGATGTGGTACCTCAGAGTTGTTTTGATTTGCATTTCTCTAATCAATAATGATTTAGAGCATTTTTTCATATGACTATAGATGGCTTTAATTTCTTCATCTGAACTGTCTGTTCATATCCTTTGACAATTTATCAATTGGGGAATGGCTTGTATTCTTATAAATTTGTCTTAATTCTCTATATATTTTAGAAATGAGGCCTTTATCAGAGAGACTGGTTGTAAAAATTCTTTCCCAATTTTCTACCTTCCTTCTAATCTTAGTTGCATTGGCTTTGTTTGTGCAACTTTTCAATTTAATGTAATCAAAATTATCCATTTTGCTTTTCATAATGTTCTCTATCTCTGTTTGGTCATGAATTCTTCTGTTCTCCATAGATCTGATAGGTAAATATTCCTTGTTCTCCCAGTTTACTTATGGTATCAGCCTTTGTATCTAAGTCATGAACCCATTTTGACTTAATTTTGGTATATGGTGTGAGATTTGGGTCTATGCCTAGTTTCTGCCATACTCTTTTCCAGTTTTCCCAGCAGTTTTTTTTCAAAGAGTGGGTTCTTATCCAGAAGCTGGGGTCTTTGGGTTTATCAAATAATAGATTACTATAGTCATTGACTACTGTGTCTTGCATATTTAACCTATTCCACTGATCCACCTCCCAGTTGTTAGCCAGTACCAAGCAGTTTTGATGATTGCTGCTTTATAATACAATTTAGGATCTGGAATTGCTAGGCCACCTTCCCCTGCATTTCTTTTCATTAGTTCCTTTGATATTCTGGACCTTTTGTTTTTCCAAATGAATCTTGTTATTATTTTTTCTAACTCTATAAAATAATTTTTTGGTAGTTTGATTGGTATGGCACTGAATAAGTAAATTAGCTTAGGTAGGATTGTCATTTTTATTATAGTAGCTCGGCCTACCCATGAGCAACTGATGTTTTTCCAATTATTTAGATCTGATTTTATTTGTGTGAAAAGTGTTTTGTAATTGTGTTCATAGAGTTCCTGGGTTTGTTTCGGGAGGTAGACTCCTGAATATTTTACAATGTCTACAGTAAGTTTAAATGAGATTTCTCTTTCTGTCTCTTGCTGTTGAGCTTTGTTGGTAATGTATATAAATGCTGGTGATTTATGTGGGTAGCAAGGCAAACAATATGATACCAATTATACATGTAAAATCGTGTAAAATATATTTCTATATTAGCCATATTTTTTTTTAAAGCAAGAAAAATAAATGAAGTGAGGAAATTATACTTCAATTTGCACTGGGTTCATAATTTCTCTCTTTTTTCATCATGAGTCTTTGGAATTATCTTGAGTCATTGTATTGATCAAAGTAGCTAAGTCTTTTGCAATTGACCATCATTAAAGTATTGGTGCTTTAGCCTTTTATTTTAACTATGTGTGTGTGTTTCCATTTCAAGAGTGTCTTTTGTATAGAATATGTTGTTGGATTTTGGTTTCTAATCCATTCTACTGTTCACTTCCATTTTATGAGTTAGCTCATCCCATTTAAATCACAGTAACAATTACAAACTATGTATTTCCTTCCATCCTGTTTTCTTCTGTTTATCTTGTACCTCCTCAAAAGTCTGCCTCCCTTATCCACTGTACCTTTATCATCCCCACTCCCACCCCCCCATATCTCTTATCCTTTTTCCCTCCTATTTCCCTAGTGGGTAAGATAGATCCTATACCTAACTGAATATGTGTATATATATGTGTGTGTGTATATTTATATATATATATATATATATTTTTTCCCCTCTTTGAACCAATTCAAATAAGAGTAAGTTTCAAGCATTGCCTGCCACACCCATTTTCTCCTGTTATAAAAGTTTTTCATTATATGCCTCTTTTACATGAGAAAATTTTCCCATTCTCTCTGTCCATTTACCCTTCTCCCAGTACATCCCTTTTTCTCACCCCTCCAGTTCTATTTTTGGAGGTTATTCCAACATAATCAACTCATATCCATACCTTCTTTTTAATTTTCCTGATAATGATAAAGTTCTTAGGAGTTACATATATCATATATATTCCCACAAATGAATATAAACAGTTCAACTTTGAGTTGCTTATGATTACTCTTTCATATTTGCCTTTTTATGATTCTCTTGACTCTTACTGTATTTCACCGCATATTCCTCGCACCTATTTTGTTTTATTTTGTTTTTAGAATCTAGAACAAGATAAACAGTTCTCCATAGATAAAGTATAATTGTTCTTGCAGGCAGAAAAGTTGTTTGCATTCTGAAATTTTAATTAATAGTTTTTTTCTCAACAGATTTTCATATAGTTTTCTTGATTTTAAAACTGTTTTTTATGTTCAAGCTAGTTTTTTTAAAATTAGTTTGTGTAGTTACACATTATAGAGAATAATAGGTAGCTCTGATGAAATATGTAAAAAGTCATGTCATAAAAATAGTCCCCAGAGTCCAAATAGTATTTCTTGTCACAAAGCTACTGGATTTCTAATGCTCTTAGTTTTGAGCATGTTGAAACTGCAGGGAAATAAATTTGAGTGAGTATAGCTGAAGAGGAGGGATGAATATGTTTGTTTTTTAGTCTTCTCATTCTTTTTTCTTTGCAAATAAAGAACTTGTGATTTTTAAATAATGCTTTGAGTATACCACCTTTACCAACTTAATATTTTACTTGTATCTTTAGCCAAAAGGTCATAGGATTTAGAGCTAGAAGGAATTGTAGACATTATCTAGTTCAACTCCCTCAGGGAACTGAGGCGGAGAGAAGTTAAGTGACTGCTCCAGCGTCACACAAGTAGTAAGAGAAGCAGAACTTAAAACCAGGTCGTCTCACTCTAAATCCAGTGCTCTTCTGCTATATTATAGCAGCTCTAGACAAGAAAACTTCAGGACAAAAAATATGTGTTCTCTTAAGTTTTAAAAAGGTGAGGGCTGTACTCATTTCTACAGACACTATTCATTTGCTTGATTTTCATGTGAATTTTTTCTATCTTAAGGTGTAAATATATAGTTGTTTAAAAATAAGATGGGGTGTGAAACTAAAAAAAACAAGTTAGGCCTTTTTTTACTTTGTTCAGACATCATGTAGAAAATTGGGAATGTTAAAATACAGTACTAGGTCTGGAGTCAGAAGACAGTAAATCCCTGTTTTGCCACATAACTGCTTGTATGTTCTTGGGCCTGTCACCTGACCTTTCTGGACCTTGGTTTAGACCACATGATCTCTTAGATAACATTCCTTCTAGCTCTAAAAATATTATGATTAAAAAGTAGTTTGGGAAGATCTTTAGTTTTAGTTTGATTCCATAATTTAACTATCATATTTGTAGTGTTCGTGGGTTAGTAGGTATACATTGGTTTTTCAAGTGACTTTTATTTTGTTACTTTTTATAGATAATCTGCAAAATGGCTTCAATGCTAAGCAAAAGCACAGTTGAACGCCTGCTACTTCCTCGATTTTGTGAATTGTGTGGTGATGGGAAGCTTTTCCAAGTTCGGAAGGTTGGAATATGTAGTTTCAAATATAATATATATTAGATTTCAAATTAAAGTATTCTACAATTTCTTGACTAGATAGAAATGATCTGTTTTAAAAACAGATTCATCTTTTAATAGAATGCATAAACTGTGTTTTATTAGTTTTCATTGTAAATTAATAGAAATAGGAAGATACCATTATATGTACATAGATGAGATCATTGTTTGAGGGCAAACTGAAAGCAGTTTGTGAAAAGGGGTTTGAATTAGGTATTATTGCATTCACTAAATCTTATGATGGACCGGAACAGCCTAAGCATAATCTGTTTGTAGATATCTGGAGATCTCTAGTAATCTATTTCTGTGTTCTTAGTCCATAGACTCCTGCTCCATACCTTCTTCAGGAAAACTTTGTCTCTTCTCTGGATCTTGAACCAGTGTCTTCAAATCCATCTCCCTGTCTAATCAGTAGGGCCATTGGATTCACCATGTGTAGGGAACATAAGGGCTATATTTGTTATTATTGATGGCAACGCACATTTATGCATGTGAGACTTGATATGTAGAAAAAAGATTATAATTTTTTTTTTTGTTAAGGCAATTGGGGTTAAGTGACTTGCCCAGGGTCACACAGCTAGTAAGGGTCAAGTGTTTGGTCTGAGGCTGGATTTGAACTCAGGTCCTCCTGACTTCAGGGCCAGTGCTCTATCTACTGCGCCACCTAGCTGCCCCCAAAAGATTATGTTTTTTACAAGTCATCTTATTCTTCCATGTGGTTTTTTTTTTTTGGTGGAGGTAGGAAGTTTTAAATTAGGAACATCTACTGTGTAACTGAGGATACTCATGTTCTCGTTAGCTGACTGACAGAAAAAATATACTCTTATTTATAATTCCTGCTTGCTTGTTTGCAGATTTTTCTTTTAAGGACCAAAGAAAGTACACTTCAACCAGCTAAAAGTAACAGGTACTAATACCTTTTCCCTACCTCAGGTCTGTGCTACAAATTTTGGGGATGTCTGTAATGCTGTTGGACAAGAAGCTACTGAGAAATTTTTGGTATGTGACATTTAAATAAAAGTAATTTCTAATTTAAAATAAATTTTATATTTATGTTGAACTTAATATGGAATGAACATTTAATTTTAAATTCTAAATGGATATTTATCAATTTAAAAAATTAATATTTTCATAAGCATTTGGTTACTGATAAGTAGAATATATGCATCTTGATGGCAAGGACAGTCTTACCTTTGTAATTGTACCCTCAGCATTTAGAATAGTGTCTAATACTGCTTGGTAGCTGATTGAGTCAAAGTAAAAGAAACATCACGTAATAGAATTTAACATTGAGTGAATGGAATCCTTCATATTTCAAATTAATGTTATTTTTTTTCTTTTCTTTTTATCTTGAGAAGCTTATTTGTGTTTTGTTTTAAAGCCAGGGAATAAGCTTGCTGCCCTAACTTTGAATACAATGTATGAAAGTTTTCTTTGTATCAAACATAATTGAATGAAATGTAGCAATGGACAGCATATGAATCCCTGCATAAGTGAGCATCATTTCTATGGTTAAATTTATTTCAGTATGATAGTTAGAAGGCTGAAAAAAAGCTGCTCAACAAATAATCATCATGGATATTTTTACAGGTTTTTTTTTTCTGATAAGCTTAGACAAATTATGACTGAAATTAGTAATGGGAATTTATTCAAAATTATTTTTAATGATATTTTATTGTTTTCTTTGCCATGAATTTTTAATTTAAGAAGCAGAAATAAATGTAAGCAATCTCTTGCAATAAAGTGAGTTTGAGTATTTCTGTTCTGTTTGTTCTGGCAGATCCCAAAGTTTTTTGAACTCTGCTCTGATAGTGTTTGGGGAATGCGGAAAGCTTGTGCTGAATGCTTTATGGCTGTGTCCTACACCACTTCATCTGAAGTTCGAAGAACCAAACTATCTCCTCTCTTTATCAATCTTATCAGTGACCCTTGTAGATGGGTAAGTTAGAGGAACTACAGATTAACATGGTTAAAGCATTATATAAATATTTTACTTATGTCTTTCATGACTAAAAACTAACCAGAAGGTATAGGTCTTCAATTTGGCTTCCAAATTCATGGCTATGACTTTTGTATTTTGGGAAGTTAAACCATACATCTTCTTTCAGCAAAATGTGACACACTCCCACAGAAAAAGACTGTACTTTAATGGTAATGACACTCTTATTGTTGACTTGCTTTTTGCTTGATTTAAAGTTAGCCGTTTGAGTGTAGTAGAAGGAATACTTTGCTACCTTTTAAAAATCTGTAAGCAAATTTCATACTCAGCATAGTGAAGAGCAAGCTTTTCCTCCTTCCAGTTTTTTTTGGTTCATCTCATTCCTAGCAGGACGTACACATGTCCTTGATGAGGATTTGTTATTGTTACTTCTTATTTTGAAAGCAAATAGAAAGAAACAACAGATTATTTCATAGCATTATGCCCTTGAGTGATGTTATGCCTCGGTGTTTCTAGTGCATTCCTTTACCAGTAAAGGAATTTCGGGCATTTTTTAGGCCATAAATGACCTAAAGCCAAAAGGGTTTTTATTCACAGGTAACCATGCGTGCATAGGCAGATACATACACACTCCCTCCCTCTTTGTATGTATCTATATGTATGTGTCCTTCAGTGTTGTGAGTGTGTGTGTGTATGTGCATATATGTGTCTTTCCCTTTCACCATATTTCTCCAAAATGTCCTAATACAATAGATCTGGAGACCTTTAGTTCTAGTCCTGATTCTGCTGTCCATTAAGTGATTTGAGGACGAAACACTTCATTTCCCTGAACCCTGTTTACTCATCTTCTAAATTGTGAGGTTTGGACAAAGTGACCTATAAGGTCCTTTCTTTCTAGCTCTAAGATACTACAAAAATAAATTTCAGAAAGAAATGAAAATATTAATTAAGAACTAATATAACTTTGTTATAAGAAAAGTTTACTGATAGCTGTTATGTTAGAGATCTTGGGAGATGAGGGAATCAAGAATCAAGGCATAAAATTGTTTTGGTTTTTTTTCTTGCACCCAAAGGAATAAGAATTGGACTACTTATTTCACATTGGATGATTTAGGGACCACTTACCCTACCTATATAAAAAATATTAAATTGAATTGAATGAATCTGATAGGATCCCTAAGCAAGGATGTCTAGCATGCAGTAAGGAAGTCACATTTGTTTCATTTTCTCATTTTATCTTGTTTCAGGTACGTCAGGCTGCTTTTCAGTCTCTTGGTCCATTTATTTCTACCTTTGCAAATCCTTCTAGTGCTGGTCTTTATATTCGAGAGGACGGAACGCTAAGTATCCGACCACCAGCACAGGATATAACTCCCATTTCTGGCTCCACGAGCAGTTGTGTCAATATTACATCATCTTGGTAAGCCTGTAGCAAAAAAAACAGCTATCACCTCAGGTTTATTTTCTATGTAAACAGTTAAGATTAGCTGTGACATTATACATAAAATGGATAATTCGAGCTTTAATTATTTAAAGAAGTATATTAATTTTAGTGAGATAGTGTGTCTGGGTGCAAAAAGAGTTGCCCCTGTAGTCAGGAAAACCTATGTTGAAGTCCCACTTCTGGGTTGTGTGACATACATGCTGGTTGTGAGATCCTGGGCAAGTCACTTAGCCTCTTAAGTGTTCCCAGGCAATTTTTTAAGACTTTCAGTTGCATGTTAGGAGCATTGGTAGAGGGAGTTCTTCACTGGGAGCTTGCTACACCAATGAAATCACAAGTCTGGTAATATGTGTGTGTGTGTGTGTGTGTGTGTGTGTGTGTGTGTGTGTGTGTACATAGAAAAGGTTTTAAAACAAGACTACTGTAAGTAACATAGTGATTACATATTTGAAAGTTTACTTGAAATAGTTGTTGAGATGAGAGTTGAAATGATTTAGAAAGATATTGTCCCCTTTACCTTTTAGTTATTGGAAATTATATAGATAATATGAACACAATGTTAAGAGCCCCAAACATCCTGGAACATTGTAATATGTAATATGTATTGTCTTTTGTATACAAAGGTGAAATTTCAAATTAGATAATTTAGCAGGCTGCTTACCTGCTGCTGATGGATTATTACACTTGTGTCTGTTTTGCAAGTCGTGGTGGTGGATTGTTATTGATTTATTCATGATTTTGCATCCTTTACCTCATATTACTATAGGCAGACACTTGTAAGATGACTTACTACCTGGAGTTATAGATAAAGGCTGTGAATGTAAGCTTTATAGAAAAATTAATATATAACTACCTCTCCAGTAATTATTTTAATTATGTCATTATGTCAAAGATCTGTGATTTCATTGGTGAGGGAACTTCCTCCCTCAAGTTGTTATCCATTTGCAACTTACTTAGTAAGTCTTAAGGATTTGCCTGAGGTGCAGAGAGGTTAAAACCATTGCCCATGGTTACCAGTAAGTTTCAAAGGTGGGATTTGTATCTAGGTTTTCCTGTCTGCCGGCATTCTACCCACTCTTCCCTGCCCTCTCTTTCTAATAGGAGTATAGAATGATTGAAATGCAAAGATAATCCAGGATTATTTTAGGCAAAGCTTTCACCCCTATTCTTCTCTAATCTTTTGTACCAAGAGGGCCCTAGCAGCATGACTGACTATTTAGAGTCTCAATTTTTTTTTGTTTGCTTTTAGGCAATTGGGGTTAAGTGACTTGCCCAGGGTCACACAGCTAGTAAGTGTCAAGTGTTTGGTCTGACGCCGGATTTGAACTCAGGTCCTCCTGACTTCAGGGCTGGTGCTCTATCCACTGCGCCACCTAGCTGCCCCTAGAGTCTCAATTTTAATATATATTTTAAATATATTTAATATGCTTAGGGGTGTGTGTGTGTGTGTGTGTGTGTGTGTGTGTGTGTGTGTGTGGGTGTGTGTGTGTGTATCTTCCCCCTCTTCCTAGCCCAAAGAGATCCAGCAGTGGAATGGGGAAGAGAGCTAAGGGAAGTAAGACAGAGGTTTTAGTGGATAGACATTTCAGTGCTACCAGAGCCATATGCTTCACAGAGTGTTAAGTTGTTTGTTTGTTTGTTCCCCCCCCCCCCATTTTCCTAGTTCAGGAAATCCTGAACACATAAAATCAGATCCACTGACTGAAGGAATATCAATTGAAACTAGTAATTTCCTGCATGTTGAAAATTCGCACATAAGTGGAATGGAAAAGAGAATGACCTGCCCTGCTAGTGCTGAAGAAGAGTTGATTCAAAGCTGTCAGAGTGACAGTTGTTATGCAATCAAGGATGCTAATGATAGTCAAGTAAACAACTGCCAGGGCCTGAAGAAAGCTTGTTCAGGAAGTTCTGAGGACTTATTCAATAATTTTCTTTACTGGCGCACGCCTCTCCCAGATATCAGCCAGGATTTAGAACTGCTTCAAACCAAGACTGAACAGCAGGAAGAAGGATGCTGTATACCAGACACTGTGTGTAAGAAATGTGTTGCCAGTAGTGAAATTAAAAAAGTATTGGAAAGTTTGCAGGAACATATGATGAATGATCCAGATGTCCAAGGTATAAGTCAGTAATTGTGATTTTTGTCTATATGGAATGTGTGAGTACATCTTCCTTCTTCATGTGTGAGTGTGAGAGAGAGTGTGTGTGTGTGTGTAGGAGAGGTGAAACTTGCTCAAACTAATTACTGCCTGGAAAGTGTGATGTCTGTGGTATGTATGAGTATGTAAGAGAGTATACATGCATTCAATTCAAAGTCAGTTTTAAGTGTAAAAGCATATATGTTTGACGGTACTACTACAAAGTTTCTAGTTTTAATAGTACATTGATCATTATAAAGAGATGCTTTAAAGAGGAGTTCCTATTGACATAGTAATCTATACCTTACAAAGTACTTTCTTCCCCAACAGTCCTGTGAACTAGGTAGTGCCAGTATTATTGTCCTCTTTACAAGGCCCAGAGACGTTATGACTTGCCCATAGTCAGATAGCTAGTAAATGTCAGAGCTGGAATGTGAACTTTGGTTTCTCTCTGTAAGCCTAATATTTTTTTCAACTATTGCATGCTGATTATTGTGTCCCATTTTATAAATGATGTTTCTATTCATTGTTGGAATTAGGGAATAAATCTTGCAGTCTACATGTTCACTATCAAAACTCTCTCTATTGTCTAAATAATTTAGTATTTGTATTCTTGCTTGGATTAGAGAGATCTGAAAAAAAAAATCCAGCAACTTATTCTTGTGGAAAGAAGAAGGGTTTTTTTGGGGGTGGTTTTAGGGACATATTATGAGAATCCATGTACAGATTTCTTCCTTTCTCTCAAATTTATAAAGGAAATAAACTAAATATAGTATATCACCTCTAACTAAAAGAAATATCATTGAAAAATGTATTTGTTTTGTAAATCTTTGGATCTGTTGAATAAATCTAGAAGAAAACAAGTTCTTTTCATATAACTGTACTTTTAAACAACCATTATGGATAGAGTGCCAGTGTCAGAGCTAGGATGACCTGAATTCAGGTCTTCATCCTAGCTGTGTGACCTGGACAAGTCACTTAGCTTCTCACTGCTCTAGGCAGCTCTTAAAGCTAGAGTTGCAAAGAAGGTGCCAACCTACATGGAGAAGAAGTTTCCTCGTTGAGGAGTTCTCTTTTCTAACAAAACTAGTATCATTACCAGTCCCTATCCCTACACATTTTGACCCAAAAAATTGCATAAAATAAAATTTAAAGAAAACATTCTGTAACTTAGAAGAGTTAGCAAACAGTTTTTTGTGTATGTACAGAAAGTTGTGTGAAATATTTTGATTTTGTTGGATAAAATGTGTGTAGGTAGATAGTCATTATTCTGATCTTACTTGCAAGAATGACAATGGGAGAGTCAGTAAATTTTTTGAGCCTCAGATTCCTCAGTTTTTAAATGGGAATAATAATACATCAGCTATTTTCACAGGGATATTTTAAGAGCAGCATTTTGTCAGTGAGGTGTGACATAAATATGGGTTGTTATATCTTATGGAAAGGGTATTGACATGTCATTTCTGCTTTACCAGAAAGGAAAACTTTAGCACAGAGAAAGAGGCTCAACTACCTGTCCAGGTGATGAGAGTCATGCCTAAAAACCCCGAGTCTGTGTTGTTTAAGCAGCAAACTCACAGCAATAACATAGAGCACTATTGGGCTTTCAAAGGCAGGGAAGGCCTAAAGGGGAGGTAGAGCTCTTCCTTCATTCTTAAGGTCAAATATATGTACATATACATTTCATACTTTTGGTTTTGAGGTAAGATATTTGTTTCTGAAATGCAGAGTCAAATAAAACAACAGTTGCTTAAATCTTTTACTCTATTACAGCTCAGGTTCAGGTGTTATCAGCTGCACTTAGAGCTGCCCAGCTTGACTCCATGAGTGATTCTGAAATTAAAAATGCAGAAAAGTCCCATGAGGAAGTATCCAGTTCAGAGCCTAGCTCTACCACTGAAAATCAGAACACTGTATCTTCTGCATCATCCCAAAATGAGCTGTTGGAGGCCAAGGTAATACAAAGCACAGTGAGTATCTATACTTTCTCTGAATAATAAAGAGAAACCACAAATCTGCATTACATTAATAAATCTCACTTAGGAAAATAGCGAAGTTGTATTTTATTGTTGAGGTCGTTTTTAGGATAGCTCTAAATAATCAATTGTTAGATAACCATGGATGTATTCCAAAACAACAAGAGTTAGAGAGATAAGTTACAAAAAACTGTCCTGAAAGAACTTGGTATTAGGACATGAAGTTGGTTTCTGAGTCAGCTTGTTGGAAAATTTAGGCTCCCTATACTGTTTTAAAAGATTCTTCTAGTTAGTGATAAAATTTTCCCAAGGATGAGTAATTATTATGGGAGTATGATTGCAGAATACTTTTGGGGGGAGAGTTTTTAGAACATGTCTGCAATAGCCTGTATGCTTAATTCTTAACAGGTCACTATTATATATAACATATACTATAAAAGCTATTACATAATATAAATTTTAATTTTCATTCCTAGAGAGAATAATTATTGAATGGAAAATTTTGTTGTGATTGACCTTATTTATCCTAGAAAAAACTAGAACTTAAATGGTTATTTCAAAATATTTCTTTACCTGATAAACCAGTAGGAAACGTTTCAAGAACACTTGGGGATTGAAGTTTCTCATTTTATATTTCAAAATGATGAAGCAGTTCAATTTGTTTACTATCCCCTAAGCACTGTTAGGCTAGAGTTAGGGAAAAAAATAGTCACTGTTCTCTCATGACACTTATATCTTATTCAGGGAAAACAATTTTATGAGTTTCCTTTTAGCATATATGAGCTGCGTTGTCAGGATCTATTATGCTATGAGAGTATGACATTTCAAGTGTGAATAAGAAGTTACTGTTACATTTGAAGGGGAAAGTCATCTGATTTAATGCTGGATCAGAGACCAATATTGCCACTCTGGTTTTTGCTGGTTTTGTTAACATAACAAAGATTTTATATTCAAAATATATGTACATAGGAAGACGTGTGTGTATGTTTATAATAAAAATCAAGCGAACATACTTTTTATCAACTATAACATTTTTAATGAAATTCAGATGTATTCTTTCTGTATCCTCTATCTAGATCAAGGATAGATAACCTTTAGCACTTGCCACTCCCCACTATTATGTAAAGTTAGTTTTGTTTCTCTTCTTCCTTTCCTTGGTCATTCCTGACCATAATTTTTTACCTTAGGCCTCAAATAGTTCTTAAAACCTTTGTGATAAAGACTTCTAGTCCTTTATCTATTTTCATCTAGACCTCTTCACAGTATTAATAACAGTACTCCACTTGTAAATATAACTTCTGAGAAGTGCCATGGGTTATCAAATGATACTCGAGAGCATTAATTTTTTTTAGGGTACTATTGTATGTCATTATTAGAGCTCTGTTAATGGAAAAATAGTTTGAATCCCCCTTTTTTAAAGGCAAATGGGTAACATCCAAGTTCAACTTTTTAGGATTCTGAAAAACGTCTTAATGGAACCAGTGAACATTTGCAAAAAGAGCAGAGATTTGACCCAACCCCATTTGAAGACCATAAATCTAAGTTACAGGTTAGTAAAATAGTATCTATATGTCTTGAGAAGAAAATAAGAGTCTCCATTTAATTTCTTTGGGGTTTTGCCTAAGATGGCTATTATTAAATTTAATATTATTATTCAGTTAACATTCATGACCCATCTTGGTTTATAAACTCAAGTTGCCAACTTTCACTTTTTTATATCTTTTTAAAAAAAGTATTAATAAAGAAAATGACCTGCAGAATCCAGCATAGTGTTTTATTAAGCAAAAAGAATATAACTGAATAAAGATAATTTGATAACATTCTTAAATTTTTATCATGCTTTCGATTCAGACCATTTAAACCTATTTTGACTCACCTGTTGATAACTGACTATCCTACTGAACTGTGATTGGCTACTCTGTCTTCTGGGCCAACTTCTTGAATGAATATATTCCATAATTTATTTTATTTTTGTTGTTGTTCAGTTGTTTTCAGTGGTATCTGACTTTTTGTGACCCATTTGGGGTTTTCTTGGCAGAAGTACTGGAGTGGTTTCCTTCTCCAGCTGATTTTTAAATTAGAGTCATTCAGTTGTTTTGATGTTGGCAAAAATAAAGAGAATATTGTCCCTCTGTGGTGATAACTTGCTATTTAGCAGTACTTATTGATCACTCTTTGTGTGTAGAGTACTGTGTTAAAATCTGAGCATTTAAAAAGAAGATACAAGGCATAGGAGATATACACACACACACACACACACACACACACACACACATATACGTATGAACTGACCTGAATTAATGCTAATCAATTATTGTAGTATACATGTGCTTTTCAGATGTTCTATTAGTTTTAAAATTAGCTAACAGAATCTTGATCCTTCAGCCAAACCAGAATAAATAACATATTTGCTAAGAAATAAATAAAATATCCAGTGTAGGACTTATTGGGCCATTGAAAAATGAAAAATTCCTATGAAATTTCCCTAGGATTGGCCTCACTTCCATATTATGAATTATTTGTGATGTCTGTTACTATAGTTTTAAAATCATTCTGGGACATTCTTTGTCATTTTTTATTCCTCTCATTTTCTAGGATATAATACCTCAGCAATTATTAGACCAGTATTTGTCAATGACTGATCCAGCAAGAGCTCAAACTGTTGACACTGATATAGCCAAACATTGTGCTTACAGTCTCCCTGGAGTAGCTTTAACTTTGGGGCGGCAGAACTGGCACTGCTTGAAAGATACATATGAAACACTGGCATCGGATGTACAGGTAAATGTAGAATTTTCAGAAGAACATGCAGATATCAGCTTCAAGAACACTGCATTTTCAGTTAAAATACTTTATGTAAAGATAAAATTAATGTGAATGTATATATTCTAACAGATTATGCGTTCAAGTAGAAGCTGAGCATTCTATTTAATTTTGTCCCATGAAGGTAATTGAAGTTAGATTTTAGAGTATATTTGGTATTCATTTTATTACTTTTGTTCCCTTTGGATAGTGGAAGGTACGTCGGACACTAGCCTTTTCTATTCATGAGCTAGCTGTAATTCTTGGAGATCAGTTAACAGCAGCTGATTTGGTGCCAATATTTAATGGATTCTTAAAGGATTTAGATGAAGTGCGCATTGGAGTTCTTAAACATCTCTATGATTTTCTAAAGGTAGGAAGAAATGTATTTTTTACTTTGGAAGTTTCTACATAAAATATAAACATTTTATGTCACTAAGCAGTTAAATTTCTTTCTTCTTGCAACTTTCCTAGAAAATTTTAGTACTGATGAAAACCTTAGCGTGCATTTCATGGGTGAGGAAGCTGAGGTACAGAGGGTTAAATAACTTACTTCTGGTCATTGTGTAATGGTATAGCCTGATGTAAAACCCATATCTTCTGGCTCATATATTCCAGTTCTCCTTACTGGTTCTCCTCTTTAAAAAAAAAAGATATTTTCAAAGATAATATTCAAAGATAATTTATTATTTTGAAAATGGACTTGGTAAAAAACATTCTTCTGAATCCAAATTATTAAATAGTCCTTGATGTAAACTTTATTATTCTGTACAAGCTTAAGAAGAGTATTCATGGGAATGTTTTAAAATATATTTAGATGTTATCTGTCACCTACACAAGAATCAGTATAACATAATTAATTCATTAGATTTAGAGTCAGTGCACCAAGGTTCAAATTCTGGTCTTGCTAATTATCAACCTTCAGTAAGTCAAATAATCTTTCTTGGCCTTAGTTTTTTTTTTATTGGTCAAATGAGAGGTTTGAATTCGATTACGTAAACTTTCTTCCAGTTTTAAATCCCGTATTTGGAAGAATAGAAAGTATTCCTAAGTACAGCAGTAGTTAGTTCATAATATTTATTCACTGTTGCTATAATACGTGCTACAATGGAAATACAAAGTTTTTGTCCCTGAGGAATTTAGTCATTTATGTGTAAGTATGTATTGATGTCTCTGGAAATATTGTCTTTCTTTTTTTTAGTTGCTTCATGCAGACAAGAGGAGAGAATATCTTTACCAACTTCAAGAGTTTGTAGTAACTGACAATAGTAGGAATTGGAGGTTTCGATATGAATTAGCAGAGTAAGTAAAAATTGCTGATATATATGAAAAAGTAAATTCAGTTGAATAATGCTTAATTTTTACACATCCTTGAAAACCACATACTTTAACAAGAATCACTTCTACACCCATTCTGAACCAGTGATCTACCTTTGCTTACAGACCCATTGAAAGGAAAATTCATCTCTTAGGGCAGCTCATTATACTTACTTTCAACTAGTTCTTTAGGAAATTTCCCCTTAAATCAAGCCTGAATCTGCTCCTCTGCAACTTTAATCCTTTTGTTTTTTAGTTTTGTCCTTTCAGATCAATCAGTTTATTCCCTCTTTTACGTATTAGCCGTTTGAATACTTGAAGATAGCTATACGACATGTCCCCTTCCAAGTCTTCTGTTCTTTAAGCTAAATAAACTCAGTTCTTTCAACCAGTTCTCATATAACTACATTCTCTAGTCCTTTTTCCAGTCTAGTTGACCCCTTCTGGACATATGCTTCAAGTTGTCTGTGTCTTTTTCTTAAAATGTGGTGCCCATAACTGAACACTCCAGCTGTGGCTCAACAAGGGCCTAGTAGAGTAGAACTGTTCCTTCCTTCACTCTAAATGTAACCCAAGATGGCATGAGCTTTTTGGCTACAGTTGTCATGCTCTGGACTCATTGAGCTTATAGGCTATTAAAACCTCTAGATCTTTTTAAAAAAACAACAAAAAATAATTTTGTGTTTTATTACACAAAAAGCACTTTGCTTCAGTGTTGTCTTTAATTTACTTCAGCTTACAGCTATTCAAACATAATAGGAAAGATCTTTTTTCTTAAGAACTTTTTAATAGAACTTTTGTCTAGTGACTCTTCCCCAGATTATATTTTGAATTTGTTTTGTATTGCCCAAGTGGTTTAGATTTATCCTTATCAAATTAGTTCTAATTTAGTCCATCATTTTTAGTAATTTTACAACTTTTGATTTCTAAGCAATATTAGTAATCTTTTTAGTAAAGTTACACAAATTTTTATTAAGGGGGTTTAAACTATGAATCTTTTAATGTCTCAGGTTCCCCCAAGGCAGTTCTTCAAAACTTTTATGGTGCTGATTTATGTATCAATGGCAAGTTCCTCACTAAGAGTTCACTGCCCTGCCAAAATCCTAGATTCAGGAAATAAAAAAACAAAAAAAACCCTAATCAGTAAGACAAATTCTTATTGTCAGAGATGCTTGATAGATGTTTGGATCCTGAAAATGAGTCCCAAGTTAGATTTACTTCGTTGGATACTAAAACTTTTCATTCCAAAGCTGTCTTTTTAAACTGAACGAATTATATTTATTATAATTTTTTATTAATAATGGGAAGGGATTCATTCCTTTATAATTGAATAATGAGTTGCTGTCATTTAGCATTCACAGAGTGTTTGGCCCTGGTACTGGATATAGCTGTGTTAATAAGTTAACTAAAAAAAAAAATAACAATAATGACATAGTGTGACAGAAAGATAAGGAATAAAAGTATTTCCCACAGTGACTTACTCTATTACCACTAGAAGAATTAATGAAAATACCATTTTGAATAATTTTTGTTGTTGTTTAGCCTTTTTTTTTCAGTCATGTCCAACTCTTTGTGACCCCGTTTTGGTTTTTTCTTGGCAAAGATACTGGAGTGATTTGCCATTTCCTTCTCCAGCTCATTTTACAAATAAGGAAACTGAGGCAAACAGGGTTAAGTAACTTGCCCAGGGTCACATGGCTAGTAAGTGTCTGAGGTTGGATTTGAATTCAGGTTTCCCTAACTCGAAGCCTGGCACTCTATCTACTGCACCACCTAGCTGCCCTTATTTTGAGTGATGTTACAGCATATAACTTTTGAAAGGCATTAGTGAGACATTAAAGAATTCTCTTTTCTTTGTGTACTTTCCAAAGATCAGGTTTATTTTTCACATTGTGTTTCTAGACCAATGTTCTTGGAACAAAAAAAAAATCTAAAATAGGTAGCTACAAATGTTATGAAAACTCCATGACCTCTAGTGGCGATATTTCAAAACTTCAATGTAGCTTTTCTTTAGCAGCACCTCATTAATGATTGCCTCTCTTATTGTTGTGATTGGTCTCCTTATTTTGAGTTTTGATGTTAACAGTAGCTTTTCATCCCATATGATCTCTGACCACAAGATACTTTGTAATTTTTAAAGAAATTAAAATTACAGGTATGGAATCTTTGTCCTGTGGCTGATATTGGAGATCATTGTCCAGAAATTGTTCTTTTTGACAGTCAGTATACATTGATTAAGCATCTGCTACGTCCAAGGTATTCTTCATCTTCTGACAGTGTAACTAGAGACAGGGATTTATGGTTTCTAATTCTCCTTTTGTTCCCCCCAATTGCTTCTCATTTTTCCTTCTGTTAGCTATTTTAAAGATTGACATTTCTTTTCACACTTCTTTCTCACTTTTGAAAATATTGAAAAGTTTGGGCCCAGATTCTTTCTTTTTTTTAATTAATTAAATTTCCTTTTTTCAAATCCACATTTTTACTCCCTCCCCCCAGTATGTGTCTGTCTGACTGTAAACACACACAAATGTTCTCAGTCTGTATTGTAAGTCTTTCACCTCTCTGGCAGGAGGTGGGTAGCATGTTTCGTCTTATGTCCTCTGGAGTTGTGGTTGGTTGTTGTTTTAATCAGAGTTCCTAAGTCTTTCAAAGGTGTCTGTCTTTGCAATATTGCTATTGTTGTATAAATCATTCTCCTATTTGTGAGGAGCAGATTTTACTAGCCAGTTTTGTTTTGAAGCATAGTAGCAAATTTTTCTATTTTAACTTAATCTTACTAATTTTAAATCCCTTATGTGCTTTGCCATACATGGGAAAACACAAGAGTAGGGTTTCAATTTCCATTTGAAAGAACATTAAGGATATAATGAGATTTCATAATTTTGATTTTGCATTTAATAGAGGAATACATATTTCTCTTGGGCATTAAAGATTTTTAGACCTAACTGTCCAACTTTTCAATGGTACTCAATTGTTTCAACTCTTCTTCTCCCCCAACTCCCCAACCCCACACCTTGTCTGAAGGCAAAGTAAGAGAAGTGACTGTATTAATTTCTCAAAGATAATCAGTTTTTGTGTTTCAGACAACTGATCCTGATATTGGAACTCTACAATCCCAGTGATGTTTATGACTACTTAATGCACATCGCACTAAAACTGTGTGCAGATAAAGTTTCTGAAGTTCGGTGGATCTCCTTTAAGCTAGTAAGGGAGTGTGTGTATATATGTGTATATGTTTGTTTGTTTTACTTCTGTGCTTCCAAAACTACAAATATTTAAGCATTTTCTATTTAACTGACATAATTTGTACGTTCCATATAGAATGTTATTTTGCAAAACATCTTTTCTTAAAATATATTTTTCGAAGATGGGAACTGTGGAGAAATAATTTGATATATTTATATCAGTAACTGTTCTGTTAAAGTTAAATTGGCTATACATTACAAAATAGTTTTAAATAAAAATAGCTAAGAGAGGAGCTCATGTGGAAACAACAATATTGTTTTTCATGAACCTATATCAGTCAAACATTAATGGAAAATGATATTTGAAGTAGTAATTCACTAGCATGTTGACAGTAGAGAGCCTATATCAGTTATTGTTTAAATGAAAATGTTTATAAACTTGAAAAGACAGATATATATTTACATATATATATATATATATGTATATATATACATATTTAAATTGGTTCTCCTTTTTTGAATTTTCATTTTTATGGAGCAGTTTTTCTTTCAGTGTCTTACAGCTTAAGGTGATAATCTTCTACCATGCCTGTAATTAGTTAAGAGAGGAAAGAGTATATAAAAAACTTTAAGGTAGAGCAATATTCAGTTCTTTAATCTATTCTTTTAATCTTTTCCCAGGTTGTGGCAATTTTGCAGAAGTTCTATTCAAACAATGCAAGTGCATTGGGGTTAAATTTTATCAATGAACTCATAATAAGATTTCGACATTGTCCCAAGTGGGTTGGAAGACAAGCATTTGCATTCATTTGTCAGGTTAGCATGCATTTTTTTGATCCAGTATGATGTAAGTATTAGATATTGCTAACTTTTTCATAGTTATTGATTCATAGTTATAGATTGGTAACTTTTTCTTAGTTATATGGTTAGAGTTATAATGGACACTTTAGTGATAATCTACCATCCCCCTCTTCTTTTATTACAAACTGAAGCTTACTAAATTGAGCTAGGAGGTAATCGATTTACTTATAGCAAATCTGTGGCAATTACTGTCTAATGCATTTCTATATTGAATTTAGTGTACACCTTTATTTGGTTTGAACTCAAAATCCTGAACTAAAGTCCTCACCTTTTCAGTTGTATTCCACCTCCCCCCCCAAAAAAACCTCCTCTCAACCCCTCCTCCCCCAATTAGCCATTTGACGAAGCTGGTGATTGTGTTTGTCAGGAGGTTTTTGATGCTGTTATTTAGATATAACAGAGCTGTACCTAATTTCAGAAAAACCTCTGTTGCTCAAGGAATTATATATGCTTGCTGTGTAAATGTGGGGTGTCAACTTATAAAACTTCATCTGACTTTTTTTATGGTACAAAGTTCATTGGGTGGGGGGTGGGGAGAGAAAATAGCTTATGTTAACAATTTGCCTTTTAGCTTTTTTTTTTTGGTAATCAGAGTTGAAAGACAAAAAAAAAATAGTGCAGCTAGGTACCTTCCAAGGTACTAGATCAGTTTTACTTATGGTAATCTACTATATATAATAAATTTGGATAATTTAATAATTGAATATCAAAAATTCCCCATAGTATTATTTATTCTTTTAAGTAAGAAAGACAGCCTAGAAAGAATCTTGGCTTAAAAGTCCACAGAGAGCTGGATTTTCATCCCAGTTCTATAGCTTATTCATATGTGACCTTGAGCAAATCATAATTGCCTCTCATAGTTTTAATTTCCTCAATGCAAGGTACTATTGTCATTATAGTATATTATGCATTTGGGCTACTGGTTAATTGTGGTGTGTATTTATGAATTTCAATATAAATAATAAAATATTTCTAGAAAATGTGTGGAAGTTTTAAATTAAAACACATACACAGCCATGCTCAAGAAAAGTCTTGATTTACAAAAGAATTTTTCATGGGAAAAATGTGGGTTGCAAATATGAGCTTCTGTTAATGGTGTGGATTGCTTGTATGTGTATGTTTTTTTCCATAGGCAGTAGTAAGAGAGGAATGTATACCTGTAGACCAGTTTGTAGAGCACCTACTTCCCAGTCTTTTAAGTCTTGCCTCTGATCCTGTGCCAAATGTAAGAGTTTTGCTAGCCAAAGCCCTAAGACAAACGCTAATGGAAAAAGGTATGTTAAATTCTGGAGAAAAAAAAATTGAGTGACTTAGCACTGCTTAAAGAGACAGTTTGGTATAGGAGAGAGACTGTAGGGGAGGAGTATAGCTGTGTGAACTTGGGTAAATCATTTCTCTTTCTGAGCTGTAGTTTCCAATTTGCACTGTCCATCTCACAGCTTCTTGTGAATTTTAAATGAAGTAAAAGAAGTGACCATAAAGCATTATATGAATATAGGCTGATACTATTGCATTAATATTTTCTGTAGATTCGTTGTTTTGTTTTGTTGCCATTCGGGTGTGTCATTTTGTTGTATGTTCTGTTTGAAGTAAAAGAGAGTATTTCATTTCTTTATCAAAGGCAAATATCTATATTAATGGTTAGCAAAAATAACAAATGTAGTGCAGTCTTGTAGCTGGGGAATCATTATTGCCACAAGTTTTTAAATTTTAAATCTAAAGTGAGCAATAGGAAAGTTGTCTTGAACTCATATCCACCATCCACATTGGACTTAATAAAATATATTTTTGACTGGCTTTCCCTCTTGGTCCAGGCAGGAAGTTCAGGAGCCATTTCTTGACCCAATCCCACTCTGATTAGCATAGGACCTTTGATCTCCTCTAATTTCAAAGAATACATCCTATATCAAAACACAGTACACGGCAAACTTGATAAAAACTATCACTTTCTCTTTTTTTTAGCTTATTTTAGAAATGCTGGCAACCCTCATCTTGAAGTTGTTGAAGAGACTGTCTTAGCTTTGCAATCAGACCGAGACCAGGATGTTTCCTTTTTTGCCACCTTAGAGCCAAAAAGAAATATTATGGACACAGCTGCTCTAGAAAAACAGAATTAATTTGGTTTAAATCTGAGTCGTGGATTTTACAGTCTTCATGTACAGTTTGTGATAACAATGAAGAAGGGGAACTGTTTTGTATCTTCCTGGAGAGAAAAGATTTCTTATATTCATAACATTCACTAAATGAAAACTGTCCTCTGCAGCACCATTCATTTCATATGGGATGGTTACTTATTTCAGTTATGCTGTCCCTGCTATGCTTTTGCCTTCCACTTAAAAGCTTGATTTTTCTTTAACTTTCTGTGAAAATGAGCCAATACTGTGTAGATCCTTTGAGTTTGATGCATAACTAGAATCTTCATACCATCAGATTGCCTGATAGTAATTTTATACCATATTATTTAAAATTATTTTTCATAATAAAGTAGTTTACTACCAGCTTTAAAGCCTAACTTTAGTGAACTTGTATATTTTGATGCACTGATACTTTTTAATATAGTTTATGGTGTTGCATTTTATTCTACCTGAAGTATTGTACATATGTGAATAATTCTTGACCAGAAGTCTATATATTAATCAAATGTCAACCTCACATCACTAAAACCATATAAATACATCATTTTCACTTATACTCTACTTTGTTGTTGCAAATTAGGTCAGTTTGTGTTTGCTTTTGAATATACATAATATTTTCTTAAATATACTAAAGGAAATATATGACAACTTTTTATATGATAGTTTTTATTCTTATAAACTGTTATTGAAACTTTCTTAAGCACTTAACTATTTCTTGCTCTTGCTGCTAGAACTATATTATATTCATAAATGTATACATTGGCCATTGCCAGAGGTATGAAACTATATAAAATTAAAAGTTCATTGGTTATATTAACACATTTGTGAATGTGGAAACAAAATTTCTGATTGAAATGTACGGGTAGTAACTGGCCGCAGTTCTTGAAACTTAACAGAAGTAGGAAACTATGTAGGTAACTAACACATCAATATACATATTATATGTATAGTGATTGTTGCAGAAGAAGGGGAGGGGGGACACAATATTAAGTACTTCTTAACACAAAATCCAGACATATGTATGGTTTAGAATAAGAAGAAACTGCTGTATTTGGACCAATTGTCATTAGGTGATTATTTTGCTTTTCATTATGGTCTGTTTACTACAGAAGCCCAAATCTAAATACATGTATACCTGTGTAAATTTTTATTTCCTTTTCTGTTTGAGAAATGAAATATAAGCTAAAGATAAGCATTCCAGTTTGTATTCAAAGAGTGATCTGTGGAGGGAGTGTATGTTAGTGCTGTACTTCCTTCATAAGTTTGGATAGCTTTCTGAAGTGACAGAATTTCTCGGCATGCATGGCTTGTTTTTTTGATTCTTTTTTAGGTCATTATTTTTAAAATAACAACAAAGCCTAAAATTCAATGCAGAGAAATGGTTACCATTCTGGGCTAGGTGGAAAATAAAGTACACAGGTTAAAATGTCAAACACATTATTGACTTTTGATTTGTGGGGGGATACTTTGCCGACTTTTTTCAAGTACAGGTTAGTACATTAAGGGTACACTTTTTAAAATATGAGCTTTCAAACATCTAACAGAGCTAACTAATGTAAATAGATGGAGATACAGTTTTACTATATAACAAGCCATTTTGATTACTTTATTGTCTGGAAATTAATTGTAACATTAAGTGAATTGTTAGCCTAGCAGCAAGTAGAATTTGTACAACTGGAATTTTGCATTTTGTGTAGGGTTTAATTTTATATAAAAGTCTACCAGATTATGTTTGTATTTTAGTGTTTGGAATTTTGCATGATAGATTATATATTACATGCTTTTAGAACTTGTAAATATGTTAGTGTTTTGGTAGATAATTTAAGCTCTAAAATTCCAGTTGTACATTAAAATTTTTCTGTGATTTAATATGAATGCCTCTCCAATGCAAAAATTTTTTTATGACTGGTTTCTCTGCAAAAAGTATTTTTTGTAGTTTTAATATCTTTTCTAATGCTAATATTTGAGTGTTTTTAAATAACTCAGATTTTCTAAATTGTTCTTCCTTACTTTCCATTTTATTTTTTCCTATCATTAAATTTCTTAGCACTATGTACACTTTTTAAAAAGTGTACATAGACACATGTTTTGAGTGTTTGTAATTGATCATCACTTAGAAGCTTCCTGCTTCTGTTAAGCAGTCTCTTCTCTTCAGGTACTCAACTGAAAACATAGTGTGTTTCTCACAGGATATTTAGTTGAATGTGCTGTTAAATAATAGGCCATTTTCTAACTTTTCCAAAATGAAAATGTTTCCATTGTTAAATTTTTTTTTAAGTACCTTTCAAACTCCAAAAATTCATTCCCATTTAAAAACTTGACGGGTTTTGATAGAGCTTTCTAAATTTGTGTAAATGGATATCTGCATGCATTAGAAGAGGGGGGAAATGTAGAACTTTCTAACATCAGGCAATGTGCAGATCTGCCAAAGTTGCTCATCTTTCTAAGATGTCCGTTTTTTCCTTCATCCTGGAAATATGATTTTTAAGCATGACTAAGGCAGCTCTTTTAGACAAGGTATATTATGATGATTTTAAACTGTATTTACATATAATTCCTCAAGATGGTTTACTTTGAATTATGCAAAAAAAATATACTTTAAATACACATGCAGCAAAGGTACATTTTCATAACAGCAGTAAGAATTTAATTTAAATTTTACTAGCTAAGGGACATGAAATTAACATTAGTGGTGCAATATTGTTTGGATACTATAGAAGATTATCAGGCACTTGTATCCAAAGCATGTTAGTCATGTTGCTGAGAATTCAAACTCACTGTTACCTATGTTATGTAAATGATAGAAACATGGCATCTAACAGAATATTGCCCTGGTGACAGAAAACAGTGTTTTAGAGCCCAAATAAGTGGGGACACTCTGGAAGTGCCACTGATTGTCAAAATATAGAATCTATGTAACTTTGTATTTATCTCAATAAACCTCATGATTGTTTTATGAAATGTATATGTTCTCTTTTTTTAAATAGAAATTTTATTGGTCTCCATTGATAAGAACAGGTATTCAAATAAATGAACAAAAGCTGTAGGGAAACAAACGTATTCTGAAACCAACAAATTACCTTGAGACTTTATTGTACTGTCTTTAACTTTTACTATTTACTGATTATTTGCCCTCCCTATCACCAGAGAAACAATAGGTAATAGATGAAAGGTAGGTTAAGAGTGGGAAGGCCCAAATTCAAGCCCTGCCTCAGATATATGACTCTATGACCATATGACAGTCACTTGCATATCAGAGCAAGGAATTTCTATGCGAGAAATGATGAAATCCATATCTTGACCAAAAACTCAACAAAAATCTCACCCCAAAAGATTTAATGTAGTACCTGTATTCTTGTTTTCCTCATATTTGACCATGTGTAGACTACATTTTTGCTGTTGTCTTTACATGGCTGGAATTTATTGTATGTTGTTTTGTTCCACTTCAGTAAACCACTACATACGTCTCCCTCTCAGACTTAAGAAGATGGGATTTTGTTTCAGAGAGTAGCTTAGGGTCTCTGAAAGATCTAAAATTTCCCAAGTGCAGTCCTGCCTGCTGTCTTCCTCCTGTTTAATAATGGGCTGATTCTTTGCCTATCTGCAGTGTGTGTCAAAGGTATATTATGATGATGAACCACTTCTGTCCTGTCCATCCAAATGCAGTCTGCATCCATTTGTTTTTTCCTTTGTGGATGGTCAGGCCAAACTGAATAATTATGAATCTCATTTAGCAATCTCTGCAGTGTTGCAGGATTTGATGAAATCACAACAGTTAACCCCAAAATAGTATCTGGAGGATCTCATCATCTCTATATAGCAAAGGCTCAACTTTTTTTTTTGATAGTCTCTCCACTGTTTTGGCAGGCTGATGAACCCTTCTCAGAACGTTTTAAATGCATAAAATAAAACACATAGAATTACAAAGGAAACCAATTATTGAAATAAGGATGGTTTTTTTTTCTGCTAAGTTCTTGAACCGTATAAAATTTATCCAAGGAAACTTTGGAACTGTAGTCTGCAGGTTAAGAACCCCTACCTATAAAGAATCTCTTCCATTTGGATTTCTTGCTGGACAGCTTCTGTAACTGAAGCAAACAAGTTCAAGCAAACATTTCCCAGGTTTATGCCTACCATAATAACAATTCATTGAGCATTTATTAAGTGCCTACTATTTCACTGCTAGAAATTTAAATACGGCTTTTAAAAACAGTCCCTTTACTGAAGGAATTCACATTCTATTCCATTAGAACATCAGTTACCTGTTGCATCTTGAAGGAATCTTGAAGGATCCTAACATATGTGCGGAGTCAAATCTAGAGTTGTAAGTGGACTCCAGCCATCTAGTCCAATCCCTTCTTTTACAGGTAAGGAAATGGGGCAGCTAAGTGGTGCAGTGGGTACAGCACTGGACTCAGAATCAGGAAGATGAGTTCAAATCCAGCAGCACTTACACTTGTGCAACCCTGGGCAAGTCACTTAACCCTATTTGCCTCAGTTTCCTCATCTGTAAAATAAGCTGGAGAAGGAAATGGCAAACCACTCCAGTATTAGATGAACAAGACTGAAACCATTCAACAACAAAAGGAAGAGTAAGTAAATTGTCTCAAGGTAGTGTTAGAGTTGGGATTTGAGTGGAAACAACTCTACCTTGTACCAAACATATGAGATTTGTTTGTTAGTTAAGAGCTCTTACAAGTACATTTTGCTTTACTGAATTGAAAGTTTTTTTAATAGTGAGTAAACAATAATTTCTTCTAGTTAGTATTGCAAAATATGTTTTTTAAAACAGTATTTTTTCAAACTTTTTGAGATTTTTTTTCTGAAAAAAATAAAAGGTTTTGTTTTTGTTTTAAATTAAAACCAACAGCACTTTGCACAGTGAAGCAGGTTTTGGGACTAAAAGCTCAGACTTTTTGAGATGCTTTACACAATATGTGTGGGCTTATCTGGACCTTTGCTTTATGTAGCAGAATGGGACAATGAATACAGCCCTGGGATAGAGCCCAATTCAAGAAGTTCAGTGATGCATTCTTGCTACCTGTGTAGGATACCATCATGAATTCCCTATACTTACTCTTCCAACTGGAACTTCTGGGAACTGGGAACTGTTCCGGGAACAGTAAACAGTACCATTTCTGAAAGGGTGTATCAGTGGACTGCCCTAGGACTCCAATCACCATCTTTGTGACTTTTGAGACCAAAATACCCTTCCCTTTTATGTGTTAACCTGTAAGCTTTTTTAGGGCAGCACCTTTTTGTACATGACACAATGTCCTCCAAATGAATGTGTGCATTGTTTCATTTTTTTTATGTTTGTTTACTAAGTTCATAGCACAGTATCTAGCAGATAGCAGGTGCTTCACAGATGTAAGCTGATTAGTTTGTTGAACTGAATAATAATGGAAATGGAACTGGATTTGGAGACAAAGTCACTGGATTAGAATCCTGGCTCTACTACTTACTAGTGTGACTCTGGGCAAGTAATTTAACCTCCCTGGGCCTGTTTCCTCCTCTGTGAAATGATAGGATGGGACTGTATTTTTATAGTTTCCTCCACCTCTAAATTCCCATGATCCTTAATTCTGGGGCCAAATCCAGGAAATTAACTCTACCCCTAGGGTAGCAACAAGTCCCCTATAAGGTGCTAATATTGAAGCTGTAAATATCCTAACAAGGTAATTATGTCACGTGGGAAGGTAGCTATGGATAGTATTGGGGCCTTTCTTGGGTTCCAGATATAGTTAAAGCTGAGGACCCACTTTCTGAGGTGAAGATAACCCATCACTTTTGAAATATGAAAGCTATCATTAGGCATTTGAATGAGGTCCCTTTCTAATCCACATTCTATGCATAGAATCACTTAATTTTAAAATAATATGAAATGGATTCATTTCTAATTCAGTTTCTAATCACCTTCCCCTTTACTGTCTACCTTTTATCATACTTATTTGTGTCCTTACAAATCAATCAACAAATCAAATCAATCAATAAATCAATCAAGCCTTTTAAGAGACTATAAGTGTGCCAGCCATTGTGGATATGAAAACAAAAAAGTGAGAGTCCCTACCCTCAAGTAGTTTGGCTCTACAGAGGGTCCAACATGTACACATATGAGTATATATTAAAAAATATGTGTGCTGTATGGCCCCAGTCCTCCCCCCACTCCAAGGGACTATTGATTCAGATCTAATTCCATTCTGTGAACCTTACTCCAACCAAAGCAGTCAAATTTTCTTTGGCTCATTAATGCTCCTGCCTTGGTCAGGGAAATCTCTAAAAGAAAGCTTAGGTATAGTTCATGCCTAGATTTCTCCCTATGTGGATAATTGGGTATCCCCATATGTGGATAACACTGGAACTCAATGGACTATATGGATATCAAATACAGGATATTATTTCTTTTACCACAGAAAGAACAGAAGATCCACAGCTCAAAGGCATGTATGAAAAAAAAATATGAGAAACATCAAATGATCAAATACTTGTAAATTGCCTATTAGCTTCTTCATATTTGCTTTAAAAGAAAAAAATGAAATATTTGGTGATAAAAACCACAGAATCTCAAAGTTGGAAATTACTTCAGAAGTCATGTAGTCCAATGCCTACCTGAACTGGAATTCTCTCTACAACACGGTATTCAATTCAACAAACGTTAAGCATACAGTCTATATATTAGGTGAAGGGGACTATACCATTTCACTTTTGCAAAGCTCTAATTGTCAGAAAGGGCAATTAGGTAGCACCGTGGATAGAGCACTGGGCTTGGAATCAGGAAGACTCATCTTCCTGAGTTCAAATCTGACCTCATTTATTTGTGTGACACTGGGCAAGTCACTTGACTATGCTTCAGCTTCCTTATCTGCAAAAATGAATTAGAGAAGGAAATGGCAAACCACTCCAATATCTTTGCCAAGAAAACCCAAAAATGGGTTCCAAAGAGTCAGATATGATTGAAATGACTGAACAAAAAAAATTGTCAGGATTTTTTTTTCTTTAAAATAAATTAAAATTTGTTTTGATGCAATTTAAGATTGTTGGATTTTGAGCTGATAAGGGCTTTGGATTCCTTATGTGTACAATACAAGGACTGGACTGGATGATCTCTAAACAGAGACCAAGAGATGAAGGGATCTGTTCATGTTCAGACACAATATTTTGCATCCAGATCATCTGATAGTAAAAGCAGTTCTCTTCTCTCTCTGTGAGTTACCCCTACCTTTGAATGCAGCCTGTGACACTAATTCATTATGTGACCATTGACCATGGATAAGTCACTGCATCACTGGATTGTTGTCAGTAAAAAAATTTACAAACCTTAAGGATTACATACACACACACATGTATACATATACATACACATATATATGTATATGTATGCAGGTATATGTCCTTGTTTATAATAAACTTTGTTCCTCAGTTTCCCCATCTGGGATCTAGGGATGATAGTACCTGCCATACATACCTCACAGACTTGTTTCAAGGACTGAATAATAGTATATGTGAAGTCTTTTATAAAATCTTAAAATTCCATGGAAATGTCAGTTATTATTATGGTTATTAATAATGATGATGATGTTGAATCTCTCATCCACATGACAACCTTCAAGTACTAGACTTTGATAAAAATCTAAGCCAAGTTGAAGTAAGAAGGGTTAATTAATCACATTCCCCAAATAGGATTACCCAATACCAGAACTTAAAAAAAAAAAGCTAATACTTTGATAGCTGTTGATAGTTCTTCAAAGATGCATACATCCCTATTATTCATTCCTTCTCGTTCTGCGTAATTCTTGTCTGTATGCTACCATAAAGTCTTCCACAGAGGATTTACCCAACTAATGTCTTGGCAGCCTTTATCTAGATTTTTTTTTTAACGTTCTATGGGTGGTGATGCAGCACCTGGTCCATTTGTTCACCTTTTATTCCCACTCTGTCCAGCTGTTAAGCCTCATTCTTGTTATATGACCAACTCGCCAATGGTTGAATTTATAGTAAGAAAATCTCTCTCTCTCTCTCTCTCTCTCTCTCTCTCTCTCTCTCTCGACAATGACATGTAAATATATTTATATATTTGTATGTACAGAATTACATGTAAATATATATTTATACATCATTGTTTATAAATATACAATTAGATTAATTATATTTATATACAAATATAAAAGTATATATTGAATATAAAATTTTATATGAACATAAAATTCAATTCCTGCAGAAGTATGTCTGCTCATTAGTAATATTGGACAAGGACCTCACATTTAGTGTACCAACAGTAACATAGTTAAATTGTTTGTTGATGATATAAAATCAATTTAATTCTTAGCATTTGTGGCCCCCTTTTCCCACAACTCTATCACCATTGCTGTAGAATTATGAATGCACAGGCTTTTTTGAACCATTTCATTTTTTTTTTTCATGGATTGTCATGGACCAAAGAATTCATTCTCTCTCCTACTTCTCTCTCTCTCTCTCCATATGTGTGTGTGTGTGTGTGTGTGTGTACATATACACACATATGTATATACATATATATTGAGAGAGGAGATGCCATGACAATCCACGAGTGTCTATCTATCTTACATATACACATGTATATTCAAAAATATATACCTATACATACATATATGCATATATGTTCAAATCCAGCCTCAGACGCTTACTAGCTGTGTAACTCTGGGCAAGTCTCAACTCTGTCTGCTTCAGCTTCCTTATCTGTAAAATAAGCTAGAGAAGGAAAGGCAAACCATTCCAGCATCTTTGCCAAGAAAACCCCAAATGGGGTCATGAAAGAATCAGGCCCAATTGAGATAAGTGAACAAGATGTTTGTTTATTTTTTTGCAATTGAGCTTAAGCGACTTGTCCAGGGTCACACAGTTAGTAAGTGTCAAGTGTTTGGTCTGAGGTCACATTTGAACTCAGATCCTCCTGACTCCAGGGCTGGTGCTCTATCCACTATGCCACCTAGCTGCCCCTATATATTTCGAGAGAGAGAGAGAGAGAGAGAGAGAGAGAGAGAGAGAGAGAGAGAGAGAGAGAGAGAGAGAGAGATATAAAATAGCACTAAGACTTTTGAGACAACTTGTACATCAATACTGACCTCAGTGTATATGTCTCTCTCTTATACACACACATATGTATATATATACAAACACATGAACATGACATATATGTATATATGACATATATAGTCTGTCAGTTGTATAATGTTTATATCTACGTATACCTGTTTATACATATGTAAATGAATGTGTTATTGTTAATAATGGTGTTTATATTTATATATGTGTGTATGCGTAAGAAACTGAGAGACACCTATATAGTCAGAAGATCAATATTGATATACAGGGTGTCTCAAAAGTTTAGTGCAACTTTATGCTTAAAATGGGACAAAGACTTTTTGGACACTCAGTATAATTCATGTCCTCCAGAAGTATGTCAACATTTATTAGACTATCAAGTGCCATAGTCAATGGTGACTGATGATATAACATTTATTTGAATCTCAGCACCAAGGCATAACTGGTTGGTTGGTTGCTGCCCTTCGTTCTCGAAGAGGCCAAAAAGGACATCACTATGTTAGAGTCAAGTCACAGTGTGCCCAACTGTGGCTGCTCAGACCAATACAAGCTTGGAATGTTCTACCACAGGTCGGGCACAAAGAGTCCATGTGAATTTCTGGGGTGGATTCTCTAAATTTTCGTATCTCCTTTCTTTTGAGTTACTTCAATTCTGTTTTGCTCATACGGCACTTCACTTTCTTTGAGAAAAGCATGCCACGCTGGGTGGTCCTATGCCAGTGTCTCATATGTCACACCAACAATTCCAAAGTTCTTAAGAGAAACCTTGAGAGTGTCCTCGTATTGCTTCTTTTGATCACCATATGAGCACTTGCCTTGTGTAAGTTCTCTATAAAAGTCTTTTAGGCAAGCATACATTTGGCTTTCAAACAATGTGGCCAGCCCATTGGAGTTTTGGTTGACCAGCAAGACAGTTCATTGGTCTCCAAGACAGCATTTAATTCCATCAAAACTAAAGTACAAGGGAAGCTTAGGGAGATGAAGGACACTTGTCTTAGTAAGATGGCAGATGAAATGCAGTCTTACACTGCTAGTAACAATCCAAAGAGCTTTTATGATGCCCTGACCGTTATTTATGGGCCAAAGGCATTTGGTGCATTTCAACTACTCAGTGCTGATGGAGCCACATTGATTAGTGATAAGGACATGATCTTGGAAGAATGATCTGAACACTTCCATGATGTTCTCAACAGACCATTATCAACCAATACTGAAGCCATTGACTGTTTACCTCAGGTTGAAGTCAGTCCCTCTCTAGCCTAACTTCCAATTGAAGAAGGGTTTTCCAATGGCATTAGGTCCTCTCCTGGCAAAGCACCTGGTGCTGATTCTATTCCAGCTGAGATTTATAAGTGTGTGTGTGGGTCCATTGTTTATACCAAAGCTGACTGAAATTTTCCCTCTTATGTGGAAAGAGGAGGTTATCCTCCAGGAGTTCATGGAGGCTTTTATTGTCCATCTCTACAGAGGTTAAGGAAATACACTGTCTTGTGACAACTGGGGGGGGGGTGTCCTCTCTTATTAGTCATTTAGACCTTGTAAAGGAGGATCAGCAATTGGTGCCAACCCAAGGTGCCAGTTATCTGGGTGACCTTGGGCAAGTTCGGTCTGGGCCTCAGCTTCCCTGACTTTTGGGTCACTTACATCACTACTGATCTTCTCACTATATACCTATACAAACTTGGAATGAGTGCTTGTGACCCAAGGACCCCCTAAGTGGGCACAGGTTTATTCTAGCCAGCAGGTGATTTCATTTTGGCCACAGAAACTCAAAAAAACTAGGTATGGAGCAAGCATTCACCCTTGATTAAATCAATTCTACAAACATTTAAGTGTTGGGAATATGAAGACAGAAAGGTCCATTCCTGCCCTGGAGGGGCTTACATGGGGGGAGGGCGGGGGATTCTTCGGGATTATTTGAAGAATGTGATGCAGCGGATGGCCCACGAGATGCATTCCTTTTAGCTCCACGATCCCGCGTGCTTCCCAAGCTCGGAGCGGCCCCGCTGCGCCCCTCTCTCCACCCCCCGCCCCCGCAGGCTCGTGCTCTAGTTGTCTCCTCATAAGGCCCCAAAAGGGAGCGGGCTCCCGTTGCTCATGGCAACGCGGGCGGTGCCTGCACTATTTGGCCCTGCGCTGGCGCGGTGAGCCCCAGTGTAGGCTGGGGCTGAGGCCCAGGCTCGGGGTGGGATTGGGAGGGGTCAGGGTGGGGGGGTCGGGGGTCATGGTCGGTTGGGGGTGGGGCCGCGGCAGCTGCGGCTGCGGCTGCGCTAGAGCTTTGGGATGCTGGCTCAGGGGCCGCTGCGCGGGGCGCTGCAGTTCTCTCCAGCGCCCCCACGAGGCCTTGGGCTGCAGCGCCCTTCCCAGAGCCGTTCGCCCAATCCCAGCAAGTCGTTCTCTTTGCGAGTACGGCTGGAGGAGACCGGAGAGATTTACCGGCTGTCCAGCTGCCACGGCGACACCACCGTGCGGGAGCTGAAGGAAGAGCTGGATTTGATGGCCGGGATTCCTTTCCACTTCCAGTGCATCTTGTACCTGGACCAAGGTGGAGCCTCGCGTGCAACCTGCTCAGGACCTGATCCTTCTGGGCGTCCGCCCGGCATTTCCCCTGCGAGCATCCCCAACTGGCCTCCTCTGCTTAGGACCAGCACCCCAAAGCCCACACCTCCTGACCGAAACCAGGACCTGCAGCCCCCAATCTCGATGACCCCCACATCGCACCATCACTCTTCCTAGCCCTCAGGATCTCATCCCTGCTCTCATCCTATTTGTAGCCTAGACCCCAGATCCTGCTTTGGGGGTTCAAGACCTCAAATACCTAATCACATCTCACAATCCTGTCCAAGTGCAGGATCCCAAATCACGTGATGGCTTCCTTCACCCTTAAGTGTCTCAGATAAATTTGGGGACTATGATTTTCTCCTTTCACTATTGCCAGAATTCTAGGAATCTGAGTACATGATCCATCTTCTCCCCACTCGCATTGAAACAAGAGGCTTCCTGGAAGCATGGAAGTTTAAAAAAAAAAGTCTTTTGGCTCTAAACTGGGCCAGGGGGATGTGAAGAGCTGATTTTTGCAGAGATGAGAACATAATGGAGAGAAAAATGGGTGAATAGTAAAGTAGTCTTGTGAAATGTTTCTCTTCATTTTTAATCTTTTTTATTTTTGATGATTACTTTTTTTCTTTTTTAGACATTGAAATATGTTGAAAAGTTTTTAAGATGCCCTAAAGGAGAAATTTTAGTTTTATATTTTAAAATTGGTAGAATCTATTTTGTTTTAAAAATGTTTTATTCTGTTACTAATATGTTCTTCTAAGGTGGAATTCTGAACCTCGTCTTGATGTGGAAGTGATCCTAGGAGCTTTGGTAGAAGCCCTGACGGGTCCTACCTAGCTGGAAAAGATGCTAGCACTGCACCAGTTTTGAATGCATACTTGTAATCTAAGCATTGACATGTTTATAAAACTCAAAAACTATGGCAGGGAGGAAACATTCACACTTGATTAAATTAACTCAGCAAATATTTAAGTGTTGGAGACACAGGGACAAAAAAAAGAATATTTCCTGCCCTCCAGAAGCTTGGGTAGGGAAAGAAATGCCCTTGGATGCTTTGAAGGATGTTGATAATGTCAATATGGAGGCAAAATGGCCTATTGATAAACAAGTGCGGAACTTGAAGTCAGAAGGCCTAGGTTTGAATTTAGGCTCTGCCACTTACTAATTGTAACTCTGTGATTATGGGCAAGCCACTTAACCTCTCTAATTCTCAGTCTCCTGAGCTGTAAAAGAAAATATGGGGGTAGTGTTTGTACAACTTATCTCACAGGGTTGTGTGAAAAATGCTTTTTAAACTTTAAAGTGCTATATAAAAAGCTTTTGAGACTAAACACGTTAAACATAGTCAAATATCAAAATATTTTAAAGATTCTTTAAAAAATACCGATAATTGTTATTTGTACCTTTTTTTCCCTTAGAAGAACATCAAGCCATCTTAGTATATTTTTTTAGAGTTCTTGTGAAGGGATAGGGTCTTCATTCAGTTTCATGATTATCCTTTTTTTTTTTTAAGGCAATTAGGGTTAAGTGACTTGCCCAGGGTCACACAGCTAGTGTCAAATGTGTGGTCTGAGGCTGGATTTGAACTCAGGTCCTCCTGACTTCAGGGCTGGTGCTCTATCCACTTCGTCACCTAGCTGCCCCATGATTATCCTTTGACACTATAAACAGGACCCTAATTAATGAGTCTGCTCCAAGTTTCTGGCAACTTATACTGTAGATATAGTTTTTATTTGTACAGTATTGCCCTGAACCTCATTCTTCTCATTTGGAATTTATGATTAATTGCATTTGTATTGGATTGATGTTTACTTTTGTGCTACTTACGAAAAAAAGCAGTTTAATACTAAAAAGAACACAGGGACATAGAGAACATTTAATGAAAGTTACATTATATACTTGAAAGCAACACTCCTCAAGTTATTGGTTCATAGAAGCCTTCCCCAAATGCTGCTATATAACATATAAATGCTGTTCTAACATCTACATATATGATCTAATGTCCATTGCATATTCAAACTCTGGTAAATGCCAGCATTAGTCACTTACATGTTGCTATATTTGGGTTGGACCTTGTGAGCATTTCATTAACATGCTAACATTTTTGAAAAATATGACATTGTTATCCCATTAGCAGCTAATAACATGAATCATAGTTTATGCTTATATTGTGTGTAATATAATATATAATAGTACAATACTATAAGCAAATTTTATTCTAACACATACCTTTAAATCTACTTTCAAAGGAGTCAATTCATATAATGATTTTACTGACCTCTGCATCTTTCCATAGTATAGTTGAAATTTTTTATTTTAAAATTGTCATTGTTATCTTTTGTTATTGATATATATGAACCAAATTACATTTTAAAAGGCTGGTAAGTACAATAAAGCTGATTTGTACAAATTCATCAAGTGAGATTTGTTTATAAAATTCAGAACAATTTTTTAATATCAAATGTCAGAGAACCTCTTTAGCTGTCCAGTGTAATAATTTGTGTGTAATACTTTATTCTTTTGTGGGGGGAATTTCCTTGTAGGAATTTTGATGGACGAGTCCACATTAGGGTTCCATGATGTTGTTCCTGGTGGAATTCTTTCAATGTGTATTTGGCATCAGGATGGATGGCAAGAACTTGTTTTGGCTGCAATGGAAGGGGACACTAGTAAGGTGTTTTCATGTTTCTTTAAATGAATGTTATTCTTTATGAAGCAAAGTCAAATTCTAGAGAAGTATATTCTTAAGCTTTTTTCCTTAAATTTTTACACAAAAATTAAGTACAGAAGAATAAGTCTTCCTGTTTATTAGGTATTATATAATATTTCTGTTCAATGTCTTGATTTGACCTGACCATCCAAAGAGTTTTCTTCACTGTTTCTCAAAACAGATCAGTATTTCCTGAACATTTACATAGCATTATACAAATTGAGGCAGCTAGGTGGTACAATGGATAGAGCACTGGGCCTGGGATCAGGAAAACTTGAGTTAAAATCCAAGCCTCAGATACTAACCGTGTGACCTTGGGCAAGTAATTTAACATCTGTTTGCCTAACTTTCCTCAATGATAAAATGAGGATGATAACAACACCTACCTCCTAGAGTTGTTTTAAGGATCAAATGAGATAATATTTGTAAAGCACTTAGCACATAGTAGATGCTAGGTAATGCTAGCTATTATTATTATTTTTAGTGCCACCTATCCTTTTTAGAATATTTTCCAAGCTTTCGTTTAGGGCATTATACTTATTTATCTCCACCATGAGCCTTCTTTTCTAGAAACTGCTGGATAGATGATTGAACACCTCTCCTAATTAAGTATATCTAAACTGATTAAGTATTCTTAGGTTTTTGCATATTTTGTTTATTTCATGGTAATTCCATTTTTCTCCCCAGCTATCTTGTCTAGGTGTTACTGAAGATTCTCTCTACAGAACTCCACATTCTACACTTTTAAGAGCAGAGAAATATAAGGAATGGATAGCTGACAGAGCTTTTGTGGCTTTGTACATTGCAACACATAGAGGCCATACTGAAGCTGTACGTTTTCTCCTAGAAAATGGTAATATTAATACCTCACAGCTTATAATTTACCTTGTTTAATTCATATTGCATGCATCAGACTTTCGAGTAGGGGGAATAAGCATTAAGTGCCTACTAAGTGCCAGGCACTTTGCTAAGCACTTTTCAGATATTATCTCATTTCATCCTCATAACGACCCTCTGAGGGAGATGTTATGATCTCCATCTTACACTTGAGACAGAAAGAATAAAATACGAACATTTTGGTTATTCTACTTTATATCCTGTTGTTGTTCAGTCATGTCCTACTCTTTGTAAAACCATGGAGCAAAGCACGCCAATACTGTCTGTAAGGTTTTCTTAGTAAAGATGCTGGAATGGTCTGCCATTTCCTTCTTCAGTAGATTAAAACAAACAGAGGTTAAGTGACTTGCTCAGGGCCACACAGCTAGTAAGAGTTTGAGGCAGAATTTGAAGAACTCAGGTCTTCCTGACTCTAGGATCGATGTTCTATTCACTGAGCTATCTAGCTGCCTCCACCTTATAGCCCATCTTTCCACTAAAACTCTCTCAACTGGACTCCCTTAAAATTTTTTTTAAATTTTTTATTTTATTTTTATTTTATTTATATATTTTTATTTAAATTTCATAATTTTTATTTTTATTTTCTTTTTAAATTTTAAGTTTATCTTCTTTATATATTTATAAATATTAAATATTTATTTTATTATATTTATTATTTATTAAATTCAAATCCTCAAATTTATTTATTTTAAAATATTTATTTTTAAATTCTTGTTTTTATTAAAAATTAAAATTTTTATTATTTTAACACTAATTATTTTTCTGGCCTTCCTGTTTACCCTTCACTTTGCAAGTTGCAGAGTAGCTTTTGAGAGTTGGGGGGTTCCCAGGTAAGGATCCCAGCACTGATTTCAGCTCTGGCTTAGAAACTGACTAGCTTGGGTAGAAGTGTATCTGATTCAGTACCTTCAGCTCAGCCCAACTGCAACTTTACCTTCTCAGAACATTTTAATGTTTTAACCTGGGACTTGTTTTGTTTTTGTATTCTTAGCACCTAGCACAGTGCCTGGCACATAGTAGGTACTTAATATGTGTTCACAGATTGAAATAAATTCCCTAGCACCTAGCACAGTGCCCTGTGTACACATTATGTGCTTAGTGGATGAATTTGGAGCTCACAATTTAGCTTTACAATAAAACCTATAACCTTACATATCATCTTATATTATAGTTATTTGTATTAGAGGTGAAAACCAAATACAATATCAATATAGATAGATGATGGAGGCTCAATGGTTGCTGTCTGACAATGTGAAGCAATCTGTAAGCCTTCCAGAAGTGGTGGAGTAGAATTGAAGACACAATAAAGCAGAGTCCATTCTCCCAAGACCATTTGTTATGTAATGGTCTTGAGTTTTTGTTGTTGAGTCATTTTTCAGTCATTTATGACTCTTTGTGACCCCATTTGGGGGTTTTCTTGGCAAAAAATACTGGAGTGGTTTGCCATTTCCTTCTCCAGTGGATTAAGGCAAACAGAGGTTAAGTGACTTGCCCAGGGTCATACAACTAGTAAGTATCTGAGACTGGATTTGGACTCAGGCTTTCCTGGCTCTATGCCCAACACTATCTACTGAGCCACCCAACTAGCTGCCTCCTTGTTACTTATTAAACCCCTATTGTGTTTCCATCCCATTTAAGGTGAGACTCCAAAGCAGCGGGTCTATGACTTCTATGATTTGGCCCCTGCCTGCAAGGAATTCACCATTTTATTAAGAAATATGTTCATTAGGGGCAGCTAAGTGGTGCAGTGGCTAGAGCACTGGTCCTGGAGTCAGGATACCTGAGTTCAAATCTGGCCTCAGAGATGTAACACTTACTAGTAGTGTGACTCCGGGCAAGTCACTTAACCCCAATTGACTCACCAAAAAAAGAAAAAAAAGAAAGAAATATGTTCATTAGTGTTAAGGTTTTGCTATCTTAAAAGATGATGTTTTAAAAGAATTTGAGTACTATTCTGTTTTTCCAGTTGTTCCAGAATGTGTTACTGAATGTGCTATTTTGCATTCTGGGTAAAAAACAAACAAACAAAACAAAACTCCACAGTATGGCCTATTTACTTTTGCAGGTGCTAATTGTTTGGCCAAAACACCAGTGGGCAGAACCGCTCTTCATGTTGCTGCAGCCATGGGACACGTCAGCTGTATAAATCTACTTCTTGATTATGATGCAGTTCTCAGTGAGAAGGACTTAAAGGGAGAAACGCCAATTGAAATAGCACGCCGCCTGAAGCGTAAGCAGAGCATCCAGGCATTCTGCATGTATCAGATGAAGCTGAGAGCAGCAAAACTTGGATCTTCCCAATCAAATCCTCATCGGTCAGCTTCACTGCTCTTCTCGAAAGGGCAACATATAAAATCTTGAGTCTCACTCTAAAGGTTTTGAATGTCAGTGTTTACTTCAGGAAATTTTAAAAGTTCAATCCAAAGTGGTCCCAATGAAAAAGTGGAAGCACCATCAAAGACAAGTAGCATTAAAGCAGATAGAACCTCAGAGGCCACCTGCCTCCTCCCACTCCCTCATTTTATAGATGAGGAAATTGAGACTGAAAAAAAGTTGAGACTTGCCTAATGTGACCCAGATATTTAGAGGCAACATAATGCAAAGAACATCACAGATGCAGTCACAGATCTTGTTTTGAACCTCAGCCTTTACACTACTAGATAATTTGACCATGGACAAGTCACTTAAACTTTCTGGCCCCCAGTTTCCTCCAAATGGTAATAAAACCCACACTATCTACTTTGCAAGGTTGTTGGGAAAAAAGCCAGGACCGGAGCTCAGCTTTCCTGACCTCCTCGTTCAGGGTTTTACCCACTGTGACACTGCTCCTTTGATTTGGTTCAAATACCAAATTAAGGATAATTTGGCTATGCATGAGAATATCAGAAGCATGTTGATTGTAGATCATCTTGTGTTTTGTTAGCCATAGACTTTCAGAGTTGGAAGAGGAATCAGGCATTATGTAGTCCAAACTCTCAGGCATATAATCAGTGCGCACATGCTCTCTATACCACATGTACATGCTGTCATGGCCTCATACAATCATGGGTGTTGGATTCCTAGTGTGGTGATCTAAATATTTTTTGAAGCTGTTTCTATGGTGGAGGGGTGTAATAAACAATTACATTATTCCCCTATAAGGCATCATTCAGTGAATGGAAGCAGTAGTAATAATTTTGTAAAATAACATTATTATTGCTATAACTGCTCCAAGGGTGTCTATTATCATGAGTCTGTTTCTGGTATAACATCACAGCCAGCAGACATCCTGCTGCTTACTAACAACTAATAAATTTACTTTTTCTGCATGGGTTTTTGTGACTGATAAAGATTGGACCATCTAGTGGAAACACATACATATTTCTGTGACAGGTGCACTCTCCCCAAATATGGAGTCATAGGCTAGGGACCAGACCTGTGATTCCATTGATTTGGAGGGCTCCAATATGAGGAAACTCCACCAACCAATTCAGGTTGATGCCTAGACTCCTGAGAGCTTAAGTGACATGTTCAGGGTCATATAGCCAGTAGGTGTCAGAGGAAAGATTTAACCAAAGCTGGCCTGACTCTGAGGCCCTGCCCCTACAGGGTTATTGCAAAATTAAAATCAAACCCTTTCTTTCTAGAACAGGTCTAAGGACCTGTCATATTTTGGCAGAATGTCAGTAGGTAATTCAGGTATGTCCTTGTGACAAAATGTCTTCCAGGATACCTAACAGTGTATTGAGCATACACACAAACTCTTTGTTATGTAAACGGTAGCCCATAAAACATATGATTGCCGGTTTTGCTGATGTCAGGGGATCCAGGTATTTTATCTCCTCCAAAAGCTGGCTTTCTGGGAATAAAGACTTTCCCTTCACTCCTCTCTCTTCCAGAAGAACATGCCCACTCAGCCACTTAAAGTAGACAAATCCTTTCATTGCATTGCAAGAGAACCTTGGGGTATAAACTATATGAATTAGGTATGGTGCAGTTACAAGTGCCTTACTCAATTCAGCTTGACCCCGATTTATACATAGATTGATTGCTACCCTTATCCATATGCCTTTTCAAATCTGCTCTTGGTTCCTGACTAACCAAGAGAGCTGAGAGAAATAACCTTGTGGTCGAAAGTAAGATCCTGTCTGTCTTGGCCCCAGGTACAGCAATGAACCTTGTATTATGGAGAAGAAGGGGTGCTAGCACCCCTGGAAGACGCTCAAAATAAAAGTGGCAGAGCCTCGAGTCCCTGGTGCTCCTCTATGTCGTAATGCCTGGAACCGTAGATGTATATCTTGAAGTAAGTGGAGTTGTCATTTGCATATCTTCCTCCAGAAATGGCCTTCTGTCTCCACCCTTCCTCCTTTCCTCCACGATTGCTCATACAAAGTCACCCTCCATTTGCAGGAGGCTTGACATAAATAATCAACCTCATTTATGCACATTTCCAACTTTCTCTCTCTTCTCTCTTGTCCTGTCCTGTAGCTTAATATTCTCAAAGCCTAAAGTAGAAAACTAGTTAACCTTAAAAGAAATTAGCCTCTGCTTAATGAAAGGTGACTGTTTCCTAGGATTTCAGATAGAAAGAGCCTTAAAATCTAGTCCAAACTCCTTGTTTTATAGATGAGGTCCTAAGGTGCTAAGTGACTTGCTTAAGATCAATTAAGTAGAAGCACTAGGATTCAATTCCAAGGTTTAGGGCTCCAAATCCAATATTTTCCCGTTAAGCTATATTGCCTCTATATTCCCAGCAAGACAAAATTAGAATTTTTCCAGGAAACTAAGGTAAAGGGTACAAATGATTATAAATAAAAGAGTTAACAGAGTCCTAATATCAGAGCCCAACTTTAATGTGTAGACAAAGATGGCCTTAGCTGGAAAACTATGTACTACCCATTTTTTCCTCTCCTCCTCTCAACCACTACTAAAGAATGGTACTCAAACTAGATAGATTTTGGTTGGCACCATTGCCAGGTCCAGGGGAATCTTTAGTTCTTTTTCCAGAAAAACAAAACCAAACCAAACCAAAACATTTTGGTTATCCTATTTTCTACTCCGTTTCCAGGTCTTATTGATCTTTGGACATGGGTCCCCTGATCATCTCATTTGGTTGGAGGTTGCAAATATGCTTCTGCTCTATGGGTCACCCTGACCTCTCTAGGTCCTTCCTGATCCTTAATATGCCCCTCAAATATTCTTTTCCTTAGCATTAGGCCGTTTTACACTGAGCTAACCATCAGCGTCTTCACGGTCCTGGAGGATTCTAGGACTCCAGGCCTTGGAAGTCCTATATTTGTCCCTGGTTTTCTCTGACCTGTTCAATTTGTCTCAATAATACTCACTCAGCAGTTAAGGCTTGCTCTACTCTTCCATTAATTTTGATTTTTTCATTTGTTCTAAGCTTACAGGATTATAGAAGTGAATCGAACTCAAAGATAATCTAGTCCAACCTCCTTTTAAAGATAATGAAACTAAGGCCCAGAGATGTAAAATGACTTTACTAAAGTCACATAACTAGTTAGTGTTTGTACAAGACTCATCACACCATCTTGCGACTATGCTACTCTATGGTTGTACTCTACAGTACAAACATTTTGTACACTTTCAATGGTAAGCTGAATTGAACTTCAATGTACTTCCAAGGCCTAAAAAGCAGAATGAACTTCTAGAAAGTATAGAAATAAGGTCTGTTTGAACTCTTGCTTTCTCTTTCATTTAAAAAATGATTCCCCCCCCCGGCCCCGAAAACATGATGGCGTGTTTGTGGACATGCAAAAATTGCTTTAGAAACTTTTTTTTTAAGAGGCAGCTAGATGGCACAGTGGATAGAGCACCAGCCCTGGATTCAGGAAGACCTCGGTTCAAATGTGACCTCAGACACTTGACACTTGTTAGCTATGTGACAATGGGTAAGTCACTTTACCCTATTGCCTCGAAAAAAAGAAACAAACAACTTTTTTTTTCTCTCTCTTAGATTTGGAAATATTTTTGACTGAAGAAGAAAATTCGATTAATTTGCTGGAGAATGGACAGCATTACAATGCATTGTGGAATCTGCAGTCAGTTATTGAAGCTTCCACCAGAGGGCACTGTGGGATCAGTCAATATTCAGATAAACTACGGTTTTTATAAGTGCATTTTAAAATGCTATAAGTATGTTTATGTAACATCTTAAACTTCAGAAGGTCTTCATAAATTAAAGGACTTATTCTTAGAGGGAATATGCTTTCAGTGGTTTCACTAATAATAATAATCAAAGCTTATGTTTTAAAAATGCTTTAAAGTTTATAAAACACTTTCCTTATAACCACTGAGGTAGATAATGTAATATTGCTGTCTTCATTTTATAGATGAGGAAACTGAGGGTAAGAGAAGCTAAGTGAGGTGCCAAGGGCACCCATTTGGTGAGTTTGTAATATTACTGATATTTTATTACAAGACTGAGGATCACTTTTCCTCTTTACACTTAAAGAATGGTGACTTTTTTGGTTCAAGTTTTAATGTTGTAATATAAGTATTTTTTTATAAAAGGATGACTATGTTGAGTGAGCATATAGTATTAATATAAAAATTCATGTTTTAAGTATAACATGGATGAATATATAAACATATACATTGAAAATAAGACCTTTTATCCATTATTTTTTTGCTGTTAAGGTACACCCGAGAGGCCCCAGATGGCATGGATACTTGCCTGTGTAGCTTTCAAACCCCAAACTTTAGATTTCTAGGCCTTGTGACCTAAAAATGCTTCCCAGTCATTTGGCACCTATGGGATCTCCATTGGAACCTTTTTTCTTCTTCTTTCCACATCATCTATTAGATTTAGTTAACTCAATTGTTTATAACTCAATGCTTATGAGATTAACCAACTGGATCACTGCACAAGCCAGTTAGCTTTAATCTTCTTCCCACCTACATTTCTAGACATGTCAGCCTTCTTGCAAATGTGGTCACTTGAAAATATGTGACAGTGTGGAGAGATTAGTGCAACCCATTCCACTACTAAAAACCAACATAATTTAGGTGCTTTACTGAGAATGAGTCACTAGCACCAGAAACATATTTGGATATTAAAAAAGGTGTCTAATTATGAATATTTTCTCTGGTTTACTGTAACACACATCAATTCTTATTCTGTCTGAAATACTAGATTATTTGCTGCAAAAACAGCAGAATGAAAACTCTATTCTGTTGAGGGTTTTTTCTGTCTTTCCAGAAGACAGAATAATTCTGCCAAAGACTCTTCTTTTTGCTGGATTGATTTCTTTTTCCATTTTCTTTTCCATTTATTCAGTTAAAATATTGTAAGATCTTTAAGAAAAATGGATATTGCTGGAATAGTTACATGTCAATAGTTACATGACACTTTAAAGGCTTTTTCCTATAGAAGCATATGTGACATAAAAAATATATATTTATAGAACATATCCATACATAGAATATATACATTTGTACATATATATGATCACACACATGTAAGTACACATACACATATGCATAAGTATATCTTGGTTATAGTGAAAAAAAGGAAATCTATCTGACACCAGAGATATGTTTTCTGTTTTTTAAATATGGAAAAAGATGAGGCTGGGGGGAGAAATGTGAGATCGATTTCTTTTAAAAGGGGATAAAATCTTTCTTCTTCCTTTAGCTGTCAATATATTTCATAAACTTTCTCATGATCAATTTAAAAATAATTCTTATAAAAATTATGCGTAAAATCAATGACTCAACATTTATCAAGAACCTGTTGCTATTCATTTGTGTCCAATTCCTTGTGACCCCATTTGGGGTTTTCTTAGCAAAGATACTGGAGTGGTTTGCCATTTCCTTCTCCAGCTCATTTTTCAGATGAGGAAACTGAGGAAGCTATGTGACTTTTTCATTTGTTCTAAGCTTACGTAGGATTATAGAGGTGAATAGACCTCAAAGATAATCTTTGCCCAGGGTCATATAGCTGGTAAGTTTCTGAGGCTGGATTTGAACTCAGGTCTTCCTTATTCCAGGCCCAGAACTCTATCCACTAGACCATCTAGCTGCCTTGATGTTATCAAGAACTATATGTCATTCGCCATGCTAATTCAAATGAAAAATGAATTCAAATGCAAAAGTGAGACAATTCCTGTCCTCAAGGAACTAATTATCTGTGCAAAGGTGTGGAGGAAGGATATGGATTATCGTACCTGGAGCACAGCAGAGGAACCAGTCTGGCTGGAGAGTACATGACAGTGTTGTTGTTTAGTTGTTTCAGTTGCATTTGACTCTTCATGACCCCATCTGGGATTTTCTTAGCAGAGATGTTGGAGTGGTTTGCCATTTCCTTCTCTAGCTTATTTTACAGATAAGGAAATAGGCAAACAGGGTTAAGTGACTTGCCCAGGATCACACATAGGAAGTGTCTGAAGCAGGTTTTGAACTCAAAAAGGTGAGTCTTCCTGATTCCAGGCCCAGCACTCTATGCATTATGGCGCCACCTAGCTGCTCTTGAGAGTGAGCATGTGTAATTACCTTAGAAAAATAGGCTAGAGATAGAGTGTAAAAGACTTTAAGTGCCAAGCAAGAGCTTGTATATTAATCTAAAGGCAATAGGGAGTTGCTGAAGCTTCTCAAGCCAAGCAATGACACGGTAAGACCTGTGCTTTAGCAGCACTGATTGGCAGCTGGAGGATGAATTGGAAAAGAGAGAGCCTAGGTGAAGGGGTCCCAATGAGGAGGGTGTGCCATAGTCCAGGTGAAAGGTAGTGAAAGCCTCAACTAGGGTATCTGTGCTGTGAGTAATAAAAAAGAGGAAAGGTGCAAGAAATGCTGAGGCGGCAGAACTAACAGCAGCTTGATAACTGACTATGGGAGGTCAATGAGATCGAATGGTAGTGATGACTTTTAGGTTGCAAATTTGGGAACCTGGAAGAATAGTTATACCTCTGACATCAATAGAGAAGTTAGGAGGAGGGATGGGTTTAGAGGGAAAGTCAATTAGCTCTGACGGATGAGTTTGAAATGCCTATGGGACATCCAAATATATAAATATCAAACAGGGTTTTGGAACTCAGGAGAGGGATTGAAATTGGATCTATAGATTTGGGAGTCATCTGCACGAAGATGATAATTTAATCCATGAGAGCTGATGAGATGAATATAAGAGAAAATATAGTAGTATGCACTTCACAAAACCCGCATTTCACCTTTGAAGAGA